GATATATGACCGAACCTAACCAACCCTACCTAACCTAACCTAATCTATCTTTATAGGTTAGGTTAGGTTAGGTAGCCGAAAAAGTTAGGTTAGGTTAGGTAGGTTAGGTAGTCGAAAAACAATTAATTCATGAAAACTTGGCTTATTAGGCAAATCGGGCCTTGCATAGTAGGCTGAGAAGTGCGTTCTGGCTACTAGGTACGACATATATATATATATATATATATATATATATATATATATATATATATATATATATATATATATATATATATATATATATATATATATATATATATATATATATATATATATATATATATATATATATATATATATATTTATTTATTTATTTATTTATATATATATTATATATATATATATATATATATATATATATATATATATATAAATAATGTATGTAAATATATAAAACAAAGAGAGAGGCTACGCAGAGTGGGAGAGTGAGAAACCGTGTCAAGCAGCACCACCACACCTTTGGACGTGGTGGTGGTGGGCGTGTGGCAGAGGACCAGCCCCTCTCTGCCACACACACCAAGTTAATATTTAATTTGTTGAAACAAATCACTTGCAAGCAATAATATTCCTCGCAGGCTTCACGCCAAACAACAGTTTTGGATAAATGACGTGTTCGTGAAGCTTTGTGGTAACATTAATAATATTGTGTGAAGTGTTGTCTCAGTCGGCACAATAGCCAAGAGTGGCGCTGATTCAACGTTGAATTATTTTCCGATGCTATTGGATACTATGACCACCCTCCCCTGGGTATGGGTATAGTGCCCCAACTCACAATCGTGTTGAAAACGATAGTTTACACTGGTCGAGTGCGCAATAACTGGAGACCATGAACAGTTAAGAGATCAGTTACACTACATTAAATGTAGTGTAACTGATCATTTAACTGTTCATGGGGGAAAGCAGAAAATGTATTTAGGTTTATCACAACAGTTTTCTGAAACATTACCTGTGACAAGTGCCACTTTACCAGCGAAGATGGGAATCGACATCTTGAGGGAACCGGCGCCGCGGAGCATCTAGTTGCCTTAAATGGGAGAAGCAGCTGATCAACTCACTATGGACAAAGTCCATTTTTTTTTTTTTGCGCAGGGATATACCTGCGCGGGCCCCTAAGCCTCTGGCTGGTCCACAAAGTGTTGTGTTGATAACCGGACCACACTGCTGCCATCTCTTCTCAAAACGTCTTAAATCATTTATAATTTCTCGGGAAAGCATTTACAATATTTAAGAACAGGATATGTTAATTTGGATTAGCAAAAGTGGTGGGTGGGGGAGGGGGAAAGACTTATCTTACGGCAAGAGCACACGGACACACAAGTGAACAAGTGTCTGGGCGACATTGATTTGAAAATTATGTAAAAAATGGATTACAATAAATCCAATATACATGGATTTTTAATTCCTCGTAAGACTATCACACTCTTGTGTGAAATTCCTACACAGTTAAATCATGTGGTACCATACTACATTTAGGTTCGAAGAATTACACGTTTAATTATATATAATGAAACCAGAGGTATAACAAACATTTAATTAAGTACACACCATTAATTAATAAGTGATTTATATCGGTAATAATTCATAAATTAATGAAATTGGAATAAAATATTTGGCAGCGCCCCCTCCCCCCATGCCCGGGGGGGGGAGGGGGGGAAAGAGACCAAACTACGCAGCCTCTCCCAGCACCTACACGGCAAGGGTTGAGGCTACGTGACTGTAAATATAGTCTTGACTTAATATCAATAGAAGGCACCAAGTCATGTTGAAATTGAAATAAGTTTATCGACGTACAAATACACACAAAGGGATGAGGTAAGTCCGCTAGTCTCACTCCTTTCAGTACAACGTGTTCATACAAGTATAGACATGACAAACAATAAGCACATTACCGAACATTGAGTGATAAACATACTGCATGTGTAAAGGAAGAAATGTGTATGTTACCAGACGTGTACACAAATACTTTTATGACTAGGTACACAGACTATTTGCAATACATATTCAGACAATTCAACCAAGTTACAATCTTGGTGCAAAATTCTTTTATCTCTAGAATATCACCAATCATTCCGTTATTACACATCAAGGCTATTTGTTCAGGAACAGTCCTTATCACTGTTTCTATATACATTAATCAACGTGCAATTAAGAACATTGAGTGAGGGTGTGAGACTAACATACCACATAGTTTACACATCGTTTATTCTCATTAACACCTATTCCATACTCCCAGTAATATTTGTACCCAAGCCTGAGTCGCATATATAGTCACTCGAAGCATTTCTCATGTTACTTTAAGTGAAATGAATATTTTAACTCGCATACATGTAGTGTTGCATGGTTTGACTTCCCTGCTACATTATACCTCTCCATACCACTTCTATTTGTGCCCTAGTATTTCTAACTTTGTTTCTTATTTGTCGCATTGTTAAAACACATTCAATGTCAATTTGTAGTTTTGATGTGGCGCGATTGGCCAAGTCATCCGCCACCTAGGTGAGCACTATTCCAATATGAGATGGAATCCACATGAATTTCACTTTGGGACCTTTCACCATATCTCATACTTTTCTTACAATCCTCAATTATGGACATGAAGATTGGATTTCGACTAAGGAATCGAGTACTACTCGGCTATCTACAAATCCAAAAAATCTTTTTCGTCTTGACGTACTTCCTTCAAACAAGCCAGAATGGTCTGCAGTTCAGCTTGTGTGGATCACCAAGTCGAAGTTCAATTTTCCTGTCCATAGTTCCAAACTCGGTATATTCCCTTATTAGGACACCACACCCTGCCCTGCCCTGCCATCCTTCGCCACCGACCCGTCACAATATACATGTAAACTATTGCCTTTTGATAATCCAGATATCATGCTTCCATACAAACACCGTAATTGTCCAGGTTCATTCTTTATCTTTTTCACCTTGAGGGGTACAATTTCGATACTTGAATTTGGAACTAGCGAGCGCTGGCTGGCCGGTTTTGACAACCGTCGCCTGCATTTCAGTACGACTAAAAGTTTATCGATTCATTTAAATTTGACAAAACACTATGCTGTTGTTAAGGGCCTCTACGGAGCTAAGAATGACACGATCAGCTCACAAGAAAAATCCCCACTGTCTAGATTGAACCTTTGACAACACAACTCGGCCTTACCTGGTGGCTGCCCCTGGGAAGAGTAACTGATAGAGGGTAACCCGTCCTCAGGCTGGGCTCGTCCATTCACCGGTCAACCCCCCCACACACCCATCAAAACGCATTCATCAATTTTAACGTACTGTGCATTAACAATATTAATCTTCGAAAATATAATTGAATATTTATTTATATATTAGCACATTGTGCGTTTTTAGGCGTTAGTTAGGTTAGATGTTTAGATTGTGGTGGCAATTATTTTCATTTCAATCCGTTCTCTGGTTTGTTAAAGCTGCGGCCGTTCCCCAAGACGCATTCATAAATTTTATTGTTTTAAAAATGGGTTTGTTCTCATATGTATATATTAATATTATTATATATTAAAGTTGTGTTTATACTGAGGCGTAGATTAGGTTAGGTGTTTAGGTTCTGTTGGTAATTATTTAACCTGGTCTCAGGCCAGGCTCGTGTCGTTAATCCAACCACAAACCCCCTGTTTATGAATGAAAAATTGTTTACACACGACTCCCAACTAATGACGTTCGAATATTTCTCGAACAGTGCTTCGGTGACGTCCTCTGCTCGAATCCCAACGCTAAAAGTGGTTCACCCACGTATTTTAAATACAAATAATCGCCAACAGAACCTAAACTCCAAACCTAATCTACCCCTAACTATATATAGAACTTTTAATTATAAAATTATTAACTTACAGACGAGAATAACATTTTTAATCCAGAGTATGTTAAAATTGATGAAGGCGTCTTGGGGGGGGGGGACGGCCGCCGTTTTAACGAGCCTAGCCTGAGGACACATTGGTATAAATGATTCACTGCCAGATGCACAAGTCAAATACTGACTTATTATCGTCGGCGATAGTCAGTGTACGCACTATTGTCTCTGGGTGGAGGACGGAGTGAAATACAAATAATATCCGCAAGGATTGTTGCAAATACTCCAAATACAGTAACACTAAATGCTCCTATAAAGTTAAAGTAGGATTAATTTTATCCTGATATATATCTGCGCGTGATACATCGATCCTGCAACACACACGTTTACCAGGATAATTAGTCTTACACACCCAGATGTTTACCAGGATACACACACACAGATGTTTACCAAGATAATTAGTCTTTCATACACACACACAGATGTTTACCAGGATAATTAGTCTTACGGAATTACACCAAAGACGAGAGCTCCAGCAGATCATCCCACGGACGTATGTCAAAGGAAAATTGCTAGCTCTCTATAACTAGGCTTCTAAGAAACTTTGGAATAGATTCAAACACATCTATCACAGTACTGTATATTTAGAAGGATCAGAACAGCCACCTTTTGGTGGAGACAGATTTAACAAAAGAATATATTCAAAAGGGGAATGTTTACGATGAAAAAAAAACGAGCCAATAGGCACAATCTCAAGGGATTAATATAAGTTCAAGAAATATGAAAGTTTATTTGGTGTAAATTTTCATGAAATTTGAAAAAGGTGGCACGATTGAATTCAGCATTAACAAATTAAAAAAAAAGTGCGTACCAGTTAAAAACATTTATTATCGAGGCATTCCAAAACAGAGAAAGCCTTTTCTATAAATATACTAAACCAAAACAAATACAACAGGGCTTCTCAAGCCTTATTATATACCTATTTTTTTTTATATTATTAAAATTAATGCTAGAAAGACATGAGAAGACGAATACCACACAATGGTAAGTTTTGAACATAATACAATGACGTCTCATTATAGACAAGGAGGCGAAGCCTATGAAACACCTTCAGACTATATTTTCAAAGCAAGGTACCCAAAAAAATATTGAAATACTGTACTTTTTATTGATCCCGAAGGTTCGGGTTACAAGCTGAAAATGGCAATATGCATATAATCTTAATTTCTTACTTGGAGTTTTAGTTTAAAGTTTATTAAGGACCAATTACCCCTCATCTTGTGGGTGAGTGGCAGAAAGATTACAGTCACATAATGGAATCAGATACTAGATTTCGATTATCTTTAAGCTAAGTCATTTACATTTGCGGTAGCCTAGTTACATAATCATTCACCCCACAGTGGTGGCCGGTGGAACGGTTACAGTGCATTCACCTATTGGTTAATAGCGCATACACTATTCACAGTAGACAAACTTGAGATATTTGGCTTAAGATTTCTGGTAATATGTGATATTTAATGAAATTTAAATTTCTTAAACAATTATAGTTAATCTCTAAGACGCGCGTTCTACCAGACAGCAAAAGACCGCCAATATTATGTTTAACCAAATGCCATTCATTCCACTTTATTGGGTACACACTCATTTAATACTTTAAAATATTAACAGTGTGCAGTAGGATACCTTAATATTACTGTTACCAGTTAAAGTGGCGAGAGTTTTGTCGCAGGCAGGTCAGTAGGTGAATTCCGGACACTTGTACCTTAGCTATGTTACTCAAGACTGGTTGGGATCGTCCATGTTTAGACGAGGTCACGCAGGCCTAGACGAGGTCACCCAGGCCCAGACGAGGTCACCCAGGCCTAGACGAGGTCACCCAGGCCCAGACGAGGTCACCCAGGCCCAGACGAGGTCACCCAGGCCTAGACGAGGTCACCCAGGCCCAGACGAGGTCACCCAGGCCTAGACGAGGTCACCCATGCCCAGACGAGGTCACCCAGGCCTAGACGAGGTCACCCAGGCCCAGACGAGGTCACCCAGGCCTAGACGAGGTCACCCCAGGCCTAGACGAGGTCACCCAGGCCCAGACGAGGTCACCCAGGCCTAGGCGAGGTCGCCCCAGGCCTAGACGAGGTCACCCAGGCCCAGACGAGGTCACCCAGGCCTAGACGAGGTCACCCAGGCCCAGACGAGGTCACCCAGGCCTAGACGAGGTCACCCAGGTCTAGACGAGGTTACCCAAGCCTAGCGAACCTTCTCCATTATCTGGGAACTTGAAGGGAAGGTGCTGCCGTAGGCGGGAGCGTATCCCTCGCGGCTAGCGTGGGAGAAGGGTGTGAGGGCGGAGCTGCCGACGAAGGCGTTCTGCAGCTCCTCCAGGGTGCGGCCTCGGGTCTCCGGCAGGAAGAGGAACACCACCAGCGCCAGCAGGATTTCAAAGGCACCGAAGACAAGGACAGCGTTCCGTAGCCCCATAACAACGGTCAGCTCAGGGAAAACCTGAGAGAGAGAAACACGCGAGGACAGAAACTCGCCGTAACTTTTCTGGTAGTATAAACTGTATTTTTTTAATTGCACATGACAACCAGGAGAGAATATTAGTGACAACTGACGGGCCGAATTAAATGACGCCCTTCTTGGCATTATCTGTTGATGATCGCTTTATACTTATCTCGGTAACGGAAGCAACCCAGAGGTGTAATGATTTATTATATACAAGTGTAACCCTTTCCCCTACCGCCCACGGGATGGGTATGGGGTGCATAATAAATCACTAAAATATTTGAATTCACACTCTCATGTAACAAACCCCAATACAAAACGCTTTGTGATAATATAAACAGCCCATCCTTCTAGAATGAAAATACTTCTAGTAACGATGTGCTCGAAAGTCCAAATATTGCGTGATGGACCACTGGAAAGTAGACTTTTGAGGCTTTGAATTTGGACAAACTGGAAATCTTTTTCATATTTATGTTGCTAATCAGACCTAACCTAACCATCCTAGGCGTAATGGTATCTGAGGCATGTATAGTACATATGTGTACTATACTAGCCCTGGCAATATTTAGATTTTTAACCTTTATTTTTTCCGGACTATAGACAATGTACAAAACGCAGTTACTGAGGCTACATTACTGTGTCAACAACATTATTTGCACACCCTCAGTCACTATGTGATGTAGTGTGAAAATATATGTGAATTCAGAGACAATTCTATAACAAATGTTCAAGAGATGTGTAAATATTTAATTCAAAATTATCTGCTACCAGAAATCTTAGCCAAATATCCCCAGTTTGCTAACTGTAGGTAGTAACCGAGTGATTGTAACCTATCCACCGCTGCCCACTAGAGGGAGGGCAGTGTGCAGGACAAACATATCAATTGTGACACTAGCTCTCCACATATTTAATTTAGAAACTACTTGTGGTCTGTCTCGAGCCCATTGTTGATGTGACTATGTGTATTGAATTTTGTAACTAGCTCATCAAGATTGCAACTTGCTTAGCTAAATGAATTGTGTGGTTCAGTCCCTGAGCCCATTATGTGCCTCTGAAACCCTTTCCACCACCGCCCACAAGATGGGTATGGGGTGCATAATAAACAAACTAAACTAACTGGGGCTCCATTACTACTTATTGGTACTTTCGACCACAGTTACAAAAGTACCATCATTTCACGAGGGTGGGTTAAATTTAAAGCACCGGCCATAAAAAACGGAAGTTAGTCACACTACTACAAGAGAATGGCGTATTAACCAGCGTTAACTACGGTAAAACCAGAATGATATGTGGTATACTGACCTGAGTGACGAGGAATAGGGACATGACGAAGATGCTGGTGACGATGGAGGCGCCGAGGGAGCGTACAGGCGTGGGCAGGAGTTCCCCTAGGAGGATCCAAGGGACAGGTCCGGCTCCCAGACCGAAGGAGGCCACGTAGACCATCACTGCTGTGAGCGGCACCCAGCCTACCCCCTGATCGTCAGAGTACAGCACGCCGCCTGCACCATGGGTCAAGGAGAGGGATTATAGAGAGGAATCTGGAAATACGTTCATGCCTACACCGTTGCATGCTTACTAACGACTACCACCGCAAAGTCAGCAACTACACAACTACCACGTTCATGCCACCGCAACCATGATCTGTTCCTGCGTCCATACTGCTGCTACCACACCATCACCACACAGCCACAAGTAATTTACCACTATCACTAAGTACCAAACCTAACCACTACCACAACTATTTTCACAACACCCTTAAAACATGCCACTATTATAAAACCACCCAATTCCACGCCAGTTCTGACTAGCCCCAGGGCTCATGTATGCCTTGGTGAGATCAAAATATGACTGCTGGTTGGCCAATAAGTCATTGTGGAGGCCTTAATAACCCTCCAGAGGTGGATATAGACCTTAATAATCCTCCAGAGGTGGATATTGGCCTTAAGTCCAACACCTCAACATTAACTCACCAGTGACAAAGAGAGCGAGACCACAGATGATGGAGGAGGTGATCAGTAGAGGTCTCCGTCCAAGCCTGTCGATGATGGAGGCAGAAATGAGTGTGAAGAGCAGACGGCAGATGCCCACCAGAACGGAGCAGGTGAAGGGGTCTATGGAGACCCCAGCGTTGACGAAGAAGAAGACGGAGTACATGAAGATGACCATGGCTCCTCCCAGCTCCCGCAGGATGAAGATGACCGTTACCAGCACCACCGGACGGTAGTTTCCTGGCTCCTTCAGTGAACGGAACTGTTTAGGTAAAGGGGAATGTGAGGTTCTCATTAGTTGTTACATGGAGTACATCTTTTTCTTTTCACATCCTCTCTCTATCTCTGTTTCTCTGTCTGCTCCCCCTCTCTCTGTCTCTCTGTCTGCTCCCCCTCTCTCTGTTTCTCTGTCTGCTTCCCCCTCTCTCTGTTTCTCTGTCTGCTCCCCCTCTCTCTGTCTGCTCCCCCTCTCTCTGTCTGTCTGCTCCCTCTCTCTCTTTCTCTCCCTCTCTATCTTTTTCTTTCTCTCTCTCTCTCTCTCTCTCTCTCTCTCTCTCTCTCTCTCTCTCTCTCTCTCTCTCTCTCTCTCTCTCTCTCTCTCTCTCTCTCTCTCTCTCTCTCTCTCTCTCTCTCTCTCTCTCTCTCTCTCTCTCTCTCTCTCTCTCTCTCTCTCTCTCTCTCTCTCACCTGCTGCAGAAAGGAGCCGTGCTGGGCCTGCTGGACGAGGGAGTCACGAATAGTGCTGAGCTCAGCATCCACGTCATGTTCGGGGGCCCGCAGCTGCATCAGAGCCCTGCATCAGACAAGCGTTTTGTATCTCGCTGCTGCTCTTGATCTCTCAGCTTAAACAACTTACTCTCCTACTCGCTACAAGGAACGGTCAATGAAAGATTGCCTTTAGGTCACCGATCAAGTTTAGGAAAACTTAGTCTAGACTCTACAGCAATCTGTAAAACCACTGAACCAAGAGTTCTTAAAACCTCTTATTATTCCTCTAGTCTGCACTCTTGAGTCCAGGAAGTCTAGCCTCCCTGGACCAGGAGGACTCTTTCACCACTACATTTCAAACTCCTTACCTGTGGGCCATATGAAGAACTCTTTCCTCCATCGGCAGTAAAAAAGATCTTATTCCTCTAAAACTCCTGATTTGTACAACTCTACTAGGAAGATCTATACCACCCTATATCTATCTCCAGAACAGTAGAGAGGTCTTCCCCCTCCCTCTAGAGCTCCTCACCTGAGAGCTATCTTCTCCTTGCCCTTCTTGAGGAGCCAGTAAGGAGACTCGGGTACGAAGAGAACAGCGACGGAGACGGGGAAGATGAGGAGGCCACAGACGAGGGTGGTGTTCTGCCAGTCGAGGAAGCGAGCCATTACGTACACCAACAGCATGCCCACGCTCACCATCATCTCCGGCAGCGATGACAGCAGACCGCGCACGTCAGCGGTGCACATCTCCGCCAGCAGAGGCTGTAGTGGGGAGGATACGCCTGTATCCTTTTGTTTTCGTACATGAAACAGTTCTCCGTAGCCTACGCATGCTAACCCAACCCTGATCTAACTCAATCCAGTCCTCCTTAACAACATTAAATCCAACCTGGCCTAACCTAGTATAACCTAATCCAGTCAGACCTAACGTTATAAACAGTTTGATGTGATGTTTGAATGTTAATGAGAGTTTTATTTGAAAATAATGACTGGATTTTGGGAGATGTAATAGCAAATATATTTACTTTAGTGTCTGCGCGCTTCTAGAAAACATTTTCTTTCATTTCTTGGATTGGTTGAGTTAGAGTAGGTAACACAACCATCACCACCACCACCCACCTGCATCACCATCATCACCACCACCCACCTACATCACCATCACCTACATCACCATCACCACCCACCTGTGCCACGGTAGTAACCATAAATCCAACGCCGCCAGTGACGACTCTGCCCACGTAGATCCAGGGCAGCGAGTCTGTGGCAGCCATGAGGATCCAGCCAATGGTCGCCGGCAGGAGAACGAAGCCCAGCAAGCGACAAGGACCCACAGCCTCCACCAGCATCCCGCTGGCAGCCGTCGAGAAGATGGCCATCACACCTGCGCAAGACACTGCCGGCACACACACACACCATTCTATAACTCTCAACACATACAGACACAAGGGGTAAGCTACACTGGACACAGACATAAGTATACAAAACATTGCAGTCTCCGTGGTGTAGTGGTAAGACACTCGCCTGGCGTTCCGCGAGCGCTATGTCATGGGTTCGTATCCTGGCCGGGGAGGATTTACTGGGCGCAATTCCTCAACTGTAGCCTCTGTTTAACGCAACAGTAAAATGTGTACTTAACAACGTACCAACGTTGTAACAACGATTCTTCGCGGCAGGGGATCGTATTCCAGGGACCATAGGATTAAGGACTTGCCCGAAACGCTACGCGTACTAGTGGCTGTACAAGAATGTAACAACTCTTGTATATATCTCAAAAAAAAAAACAAAAAAAATATCTCATTGTCTGGACACATACACAGATACGCTACGCGGTCTAGACACACACACACAACTTTGAATGTAAATGTGAAAATCAAAACATGGGAACCGAGTTTTTGCATTAGGCAAAGAAGTGTTTGGGAAGCGGAAGACAGGCGCTAATGCACGACCTTACAAGCACATGTAGGTGAACACATCAGCACTGCAAACAAACGCCATTGCCACACTTAGTGGCCATACGCACAGATACATGGACAGTGTGTGTGTATACATGGAAAATAAGATACTAGACTCCAGTATCCACACAGATACGACCAAGAATGAACGCACTTGCGTCCCTGGAGCTGTTATAATAATAATAATAATAATAATAATAATAATATGGACGTATCAGAAATGTTTGGCAAGTTCAAGTTCAAGTATGTTTATTGAGACAAGAAAAACAAATACACCTCAAAGGGATAGACCGAGCAGCTTAGGCTATTTCTACCCCCCTGATTTTACAAGTGTAAACATATCACATGGTAATTCAGTGTTGAGCATTTTCTGCATAGTCAGTCCAAAAATTAAAGTCAGTTGCCAGTAGACGATTGGTATTACACAATATTTTGCTTGCATAATGCTTAATTATATCCCCTCAGTCTAAATATGTGTCATAGGCTTTGTTGATTTAGGTTAACTGGATAGCATATATCCTCGGTTTGATCTGGCTCGGGCCTGATCTGTCTTAGGGCTGACCTGACTCGTGTTTGACCTAGATTGAAACTGACCTGGCTTGTCTTTGACCTGGCTTGGGATTGACCTGACTTGGAGCTGACCTGACTTGGGACTGACCTGAATTGGTGCTGACCTGGCTTAGGGCTGATCTGACTTGGGGCTGTAGCTTGAAGGTTGACCTGGCTTGGGGCTGACCAAGATTTGATTTGTCGTGAACCTGAGCTGTGTTTCAGCTGTCGTGGACTTCGCTAACACTTAATCATACCCGAGCTTGACCTGACTTGCAACTCACTAGCCTGGTAAGGGAAGGTGTAGCGCAGGTCACATCTCACTTACCGAGCCACTCCTGGTCGTTGATAGTTAAGTTGAAGTTGGTGTTGGGGTCCTCCATGATGCGGGACACCTCCACCGACCAGCCCACCACCATCCCTGTGCACAGCACTGCGCACACCACCACGCACGATGCGCATATCTACGCACATGACCAACAGAAAACAAAAGAGTTAAGCATGTAAATACAGCATTACGGATACCACCTTCAGCCCCTTTCCATTTTCTATGACGCAGCTCACGCGCAAGAACCTCAATGAATCTTAGACGGTTATTTAACGCCTTTCAAGACAAAACACCGATAAACGTCTCGATAAACAAGAGAAAAACATCCTACTTTATGTTCTCTTCACGACCAAGAGCGGTTCAGATCCGTTACCAACAGAAACTCTCGAATCGTCGAGCTCTTGAAATTGAAATTGAAATAAGTTTATTGAGGTAAAATACACACAAAGGGATGAGGTAGCTCAAGCTATTCTCACCCCATACGAGCTCTTGAAGTCTGTCGAGTGAAAGTAACCCACGAAGCACTCGGATCATTGAACACTTGAAGTCTGAGGAGTACAAGGAGCCTACGGTAGCAATTGGATTGTTAAACACTTGAAGTCCCTGCATTGCATTGCTTATCGTGTGCATGTGACGCCTATGATTTGCTGGTAAAGTAAACGATGCACTTAACGACGCACTTTAGTGTCCGTGGAAGACACTAATGTGCATTGCAAACACCTGGAAAACATTAACTATTGGCGGAAAGCAATGGTTGGTTTTTCTATGTCGGAGATAGGAAGCCAATATTAGTTTGGCCGCGATTTTTCTTGGCCAACTACAGATCGACCTTCCTCAGGACGCAACCCACAACAGTCCCCTACCTCCAGAGGACCTGTTTACTGCTTGGTATAAACAGTACCACTGTCTACTGTGGTGTTGAACGTTATTATAGGCGAGTGTTAATGACAAGACGTGACCAATAGCACGTGGTTGTTGTAACTTGAATTTTAGAATATATATATATATATATATATATATATATATATATATATATATATATATATATATATATATATATATATATATGCGGAAAGTCCACAGAGAAATATGAAATGAGGTGAACGTTTCGGCTTTGTTAAAGCCTTTGTCAACACCAGACTGACTCAGTCAGTCTGGTGTTGACAAAGGCTTTAACAAAGCCGAAACGTTCACCTCATTTCATATTTCTCTGTGGACTTTCCGCATAAAATGATCAGTGTTTTGTATCGTCAATTGCATATATATATATATATATATATATATATATATATATATATATATATATATATATATATATATATATATAATATAATGTACCATAAATCATAGCGGCTCATAAACATTCACGTTCTCTATGGATGGATAAATCAGTTTGGTTAGGTTAAATCTGGACAATTTAGTCCATCATTTTCTGTCTGGTGTGACAACTCGAGACTACCTCATCAAGCAGGACAATAGCTTCATCAAAACAATTTAAAATTTCCTTGAAAAAAGTATCGTTAAAGGAGCAGATTTACTCTTAGTTGCGTTATTATCTAGAACGTGTATAACCTTCATTATTGTATAGTATCTGGGTTATTCAGTAAATATATAAGTGTCACTCACCTGTCGCCATCTGTAGATAAACCATGACTTAAGCGCCATTTTCTAACAGGATCAACTGTCAATTTTGTCCGGTGGAAGAGGCTGGGTCTAAGGAGCTCTCCTGGAGATGACAGAGTCGTTGCTGTTGTCTCCTCTCAACATTTACTGTAAGAAAATTGAGTGAGCTGTGAGTAATTTTGTTTTCAAATTTTGCCCCGGGAGGCGAGTTTACTGGACGGCGGCACTCATCCTGTGGGTGGACACACCGCCATAGCAGCATGTACAACACTCCCCAATAGGGTGTGGGTGTTGTCTGTGGTGTGAGGTGTTGCTTGTGACGCATGAGTCAAGTGTTATGAGTTGCGGGTGTGACCTGTGAGGGTGTGCACGAGTCCTGAAGCATCTCATTGTCAAGACACGGCCGTGCTAGCGGGCCAGTTGCACAGCTCAGCCCTTAACCTCCTATTGAAGGCTTTTGACAAAGATCAAGTCTAACCGTTACCTACCTCCTGCCTGTCATCCTACCAACGGAAGCAACCCACACATACGACACATACGCCCAGCGCTGAATAACCTTCCAGCTAGGCTACTTTGCATTATTAAAACGTGAATAACGTTTTAATAACGTAAAATGACAACAAGTAATTTCACCAACGTATGTAAATCGAAAATTCGTAAATCATGACGCAGCCCAAATCATGATGATGAAGTAATGGGAAGTCCAACGGAAACCTATGGGGCTCCAACTGATCAAACACACGGATATATAAAATCAATTTTAGTTACTGTTAAGGACACAACAAAGGTAAGGGGGAGGAATTAACGATCAGACGATAACAAGAGGACGGGCTTAGTGTCCCCGCGGCCCGGTCGTCGACCAGGCCTCCTGGTTGCTGGACTGATCAACCAGGCTGTTAGACGCGGCTGCTCGCAGCCTGACGTATGAGTCACAGCCTGGTTGATCAGGTATCCTTTGGAGGTGCTTATCCAGTTCTATGCATAGGTATGTCCAGGAACACTCAGGTAAGATATTGTATGTAATCGAGTCGCACTATTAGGCCCGAGTTCGATATCTAAAGAGGGCGAAACGGTTTGGGCACGTTCTCTCTCTCACACCTGATGCCTCTGCTCCTCGGGTGTTCTAGTCGACTGTTGTGGGCTGGTCTCCTGGGAAAATGGCCAGTCGGAAACCTCGACAACCCTTAAAACTTTACTATAAACCAAAATAGGAAACCAATTTCTGTATATTTGCGTTCGCTGTTTAATATATTGCAGTTATCTTGAGGTTATCTTGAGATGATTTCGGGGCTTAGTGTCCCCGAGGCCCGGTCCTCGACCAGGCCTCCACCCCCAGGAAGCAGCCCGTGACAGCTGACTTACTCCCAGATACCTATTTACTGCTAGGTAACAGGGGCATCAGGATGAAAGAAACTCTGCCCATTATCTCTCGCCGGCGCCCGGGATCGAACCCGGGATCGAACCCGGGACCACAGGATCACGCGTCCGTGTTCTGTCTGCTCAGCCACCGGCTCCCCAGTTGCTTAATGACTTAAAATATATCATCACGTGGTCATAGATTAACGAATGCCTCCATAACTCAAGAATAGATTAATTTACACATTAAAGTGTTCCTCTACTTCAAAGTCCGGATTTACTCAATCATTCAACAAGCTGGGAAGTAGTGAATACATTATGACAATGAAATTCAATAATATAATTCAGTTTAGTGCCAAAAAGAAAGTAAGAAAGGACGACAACATCTTCCACCAACCAGGAGTCAGAGAAACTCAACCCAGCAGTGTTAAGTGTCAGGTGTAGACTGAGAGAGAGAGAGAGAGAGAGAGAGAGAGAGAGAGAGAGAGAGAGAGAGAGAGAGAGAGAGAGAGAGAGAGAGAGAGAGAGAGAGAGAGAGAGAGAGAGAGAGAGAGAGAGAGAGAGAGAGACAGAGAAAGAGAGAGACAGAGAGAGAGAGAGAGAGAGAGAGAGAGAGAGAGAGAGAGAGAGAGAGAGAGAGAGAGAGAGAGAGAGAGAGAGAGAGAGAGAGAGAGAGAGAGAGAGAAAGAGACAGAGAAAGAGAGAGACAGAGAAAGAGAGAGACAGAGAAAGAGAGAGACAGACAGACAGACAGAGAGTGTGTGTGTGTTATTTGTTCCTGCAAATTCGTGCTTCAACGCCGCCATTCTAATATCCGTAGTCTAATATACTCACCTTCCCTTATTTTCCTCCATAATATTTATTACATATTTCTCTCTCTCACACACACACTGCCTCTGTTGGAGGCAGACTCCATACACAGTTTCAAATGTAGATATGATAGAGCCTAATATGCTCATGAATCTGTACACCAGTTGATTGACAGTTGAGAGGCGGGGACCAAAGAGCTGAAGCTCAACCCCCGCAAGCACGACTAGGTGGAAGGAGCCCGAGATGCATCCCGGGCATATTAGGTATTAGTACTTGTATTCCATAAGTACTAATCTCTCCCTTGTTGCAATCTACAACATTATAGCCTAATGATCGAGTACCTATATTGGCTTTCGTGAACAGCCCGAGGCATCAAGTGGTAGGAACATAACTAAATCCAACGTATGTAGTTATGTATATACTGTATACACACAATTAAACTACCTGCTGACCTTTGGGGGTCACACTGGATGGTCTGCTACACACACAGGGGGGAAGAGGGAGGACCAGACTGACCTTCAGCTAGGCCCAGGAAGATAACTCGACTCCCGCGGACACACAGTGAGCTGACCTGAACCTGGGGTCAATCGAGGGTAGACTGAGAGAGCCTGGCCATGGCGTAGCTACGTGGGGGCTAATACCTCAGTAATCCAGGCAACTGCTGAGTCAGTATCACATGAGGAGGCTACAATGACTCCCGCCCACACCTCAGTCACGCGCCCTGTTGTATAGCCTCACAGTCATCACTCATCCACCTGGGGGTCACATCCCCCTCCCACCTGTCTTCCTTCCTCTCTGCTCTGTAAGTGTGTCTCCTCTTCTCCACTTGCACTTGCGAAGGAAGAACTTCAGATGATCTTGGGCCCCTGCTTCGGTTGAAGCTTTGTACGGAACCCACCTTTACACCACATTTTTGCGCGTTTCTTATTAAAAAGAAAAATTTATCAATTCTATAGTATACGAAGACGTATCAATATAATACAACCAATGCATCATTGTATTTATAAATTATTATTCTTATTATTATTATTAATGTCTGTGTGACTCATTTGGATAGTTAATTTGAGGAACGTAAGGTTTAATTCCATACTTCTTTCCTCCTCATTCGTGTCTCTCGGCTTTGGGTACAAGTCTAGAAGCATTCTTCTGGACTTTCTCCAGTTTTCTTTTGTGTGTAACTAGATAAGTACTCCAAGCTGGCGATGCAGATATTACGGTATTGGTCTGACTTAATGTAGTATAAAATATCCTGAATGACGTCTCCACTAGATTTATGAATGCAATACTTATATGTTGGCCAACTTTGCATATACAGCTGATGATATTCGATAGATATAGACTGACAAGGAACAGATTTAGGAACGTCGACGTGACATCTCTGCCTACAGTTCAGGAATAAGATAGATCTTAGTACCAACCGTTGTGAGACCTCGCATGTTTGCTCATCTTGTGCAATAGTCTCCTGGGTACTGTGTCGAAGGATTTCTGACAATCCAAAAATATGTAGCGTACCCACCCTTCTGTGTTTTCTCTAATTGGAATTGGCCATCTCTGAACCCATGCTGGTGATGTATTGCGAAGGCCAAATAGAACTGGGTGGGCGCCAGCTATTAATATCTCTTTGATATCCCCAGTCAAACTAAATCTGTGTAAACACCCCATGCAAATAAAGATACCCAGTCTATTGAACTCGCTCCCTAATGAATACAAAAAAGTGTCCACTCTATGCCTTATTCAAAAATAACACCAAAAAGTTCCTAATTTCATCCTCATAGTTTCCTACCTTGTGCTTTAAACTCACTCTGTATCTTGTACTACCCACTTCTCCCAGTATTAGTACTTAAGACATATATCTTCACCAGTCACCACCTCTGTCAATTTATAGTGTAGTTATATGTTGATATAAATTTTTGCCACAGCGTACCTTTCCATCTTACCTGATGCCCGAAACGCTATGCCTACTAGTGGCTTTAGGTATTGTATGTACTAGCTCTATCTATAAATCCAACATTATGTTTGTAACTAATCCTCTATATATGTACTTTTACCTGAATAAACATTTGATTTGATTTGTATTTGATATGTTAGATTAAGGACCTGCCCGAAATTTTTGAGTGTTAGAGGCTTTGCAAGAATGGAAAAATACAAATCTTATGTAATCTCACAAACCCATTGTACCTTCTTGTAAACAAAAATTATTATTATTAATTGCTCACCTCTGTTCAACCAGCAGTAAATGGGTACCCTGGATGTAAACCAATAGACTAATCGTGTTCGAGGGAAACTAGTAAGCTTAGGCTTGAGATGAACTATGGTAAGGATAAGTTTAAAACCTGCTAACAGTGATCAGAAGTCGTTTACTCCTATACCCATTTGTGTAAAAAAATAAAACTCCATCTCGATCTTTTATATAGTCATTGTAACTATATTAGCAGTGTTCAGACTTTTTGGTAGTTCTCCCTGCTTCCAATGACGTATTATATATATTTTACAGAAAATAGCCAGCACAGCTCCCTCTTTTATTGCTCACAGGAGACCTTTTCTGTTTCCCCAGTCTTATAATTAGTTGGATCAAGATCCAACATGCAGTTGCCGTCTTAATTAATTTCCTGTAATCTCAAATGCCTTATGTGCTAATTGGTTTGACACCATTCCTCTCATTTCTGGCATTCGATAAGTCTAGCAGAATGCCTATCCCCGAACAATGGGAAACCACATATGTAAGCTAACATTGATGATGATTGATTGATTAATTGATAAAGATTAAGCCACCCAAGAGGTGGCACGGGCATGAATAGCCGGTAAGTGGTACAATTTTTGGTTCAGTAATTCTTTTCAGTATTCTGAGGTTGCATTTAATCGTCAAGCTGTTATCGCGGGGGTACAGTGATGGTATAATAGGTTCAGCAATATATACGGTTTCTCATAGGGGAGACAGGAAGCCTGTATTTAGGCCTATCAAGGTCCTCTGGGCGTTCCCAGAGATCCATTCCACAACAGTTGCCAGACTGTATGTGCTTAGGCTTGCGAAATAATCACTATAGCTAGTTCGTATGCACTCAATTCGCGGACAGCATTATTGATGAAGTTATGACCAATTACATAGTCAAGCCTGCTACCTATAATTAAGGTGACTGATGTTAGATAAGTTTAAATTAAAGGCAGCCATATATGGTTTTATCTGAATTTTTTAATAAATTTGCTTACGTTTTTATTTTGATGTTCCCCTAGGCTAGCTATGTCGTGATCTGTTACGATAAATTCAGAGCTGTTATTAATTGATTTAATAGAAGTTTGTGGCATGCGGCCTCCTCTCGCATCCTGTTTCTTGTAAATTGCCAATCACCTCAAAATCTCAATAGACATCTCAGATAGTTTGTGAACCTTAAGACTTGCCTGAAACGCACAAATAATGCGTGTTAATGGCTTTGCTGTAAATACAAATCCACACCAACATTGTTATATAATGTTTCATTATAATATATATAATTTATATACATATTGTTAATGTATCCTAGCAGACAAAACGTGCTCTTGGAACGTTAAATCAACGTTAAATTAAACGTAGGTCAACGTTGATTCAATGTTATTGCAACGCAGTTGGCTGGGGGAGGGATTACACTACTATACACCGTTTTGGGACTGAATTACAGGGAGTTGGAAGTCTTATTTACATCGTCTCTCTCTCTCTCTCTCTCTCTCTCTCTCTCTCTCTCTCTCTCTCTCTCTCTCTCTCTCTCTCTCTCTCTACTTCTCTGTTGTTGTGTGCTTTGCTTGTTATTCATTTCTCTCTGCCGTCATATCTCCTTAATACGTATTTGTTCTTAACTTTTCTTTTTGCTTAAGGTTTATTTATCACATTTGTATTGTGGTTTCATTGTGTATTCTTTGTTTTGCTATTAATTAATGTATTTATTTATTTCTATTTGTCTTATTTTTTCGTAACGCATTAAATTTGAATTTGTTTGTAGAGAGCAGAGAGAGAGAGAGATTTGAGAGAGAGAGAGAGACAGAGAGAGAGACAGAGAGAGAGACAGAGAGACAGAGAGAGAGAGAGAGAGAGAGAGAGAGAGAGAGAGAGAGAGAGAGAGAGAGAGAGAGAGAGAGAGAGAGAGAGAGAGAGAGAGAGAGAGAGAGAGAGAGAGAGAGAGAGAGAGAGAGAGAGAGAGAGAGAGAGAGAGAGAGAGAGAGAGAGAGAGACAGACAGACAGACAGACAGACAGACAGACAGACAGGCAGACAGACAGACAGACAGACAGACAGACAGACAGACAGACAGACAGACAGACAGTGAGAGGGTTGCTGTGAATAAGTGATGAAGTGTGCGAGGAGAGAGAGAGAGATCAGATGGAAGTCGTCATGAATATCTTACAAGTTGCATAACAAATGGGTGCAGCGCGCTACGTCTTGGCATGCATCTTAATTTGATTATCCTTTCTAGGCGACAACGAACTTCGTTTCGGGCCGATTTTAGGTGTTTCGCGTTTTAGGTATTATATACAAAATAATAAAGAATCTCTAAATTCGCTCTAGAAAACGATAAGAAAGTAATCGGTACTGAAAGTTAATTTAGCGGGATACATAGCATAAATGCATGAATTCATCTACCATAATACTTAATGTGGTATCAATAAAATATATATAATAATGGGGAAGCTCTAATGCTAGAGGAGAGTGCTATGCATCACTTTTAATTCATTCTTCTGTGGGGACAAGGTCAAAATTCCCGCTGGTAAATCAGCTGGTGAGGCGTCAGCTGATCTTGCTAACATCTGCTGTATATTACTAAAAGCTACTATATAAACCATGATCAATATAATACCTCACGAATACGCACGAGCAAACTTACAAAAAAAAAACGCAACATAATTTACAAATCCCTCAAACGCAATACACAACTCATCCCCCATTACCAAGAGATAGACAAATGCTTCTGTCAACTGGTTATTACTGGCCGAGGAAAAATTGACCGAATCCCAGATACCAGCGCAAGAATTACGTTACTAAAAAATTGGAATAAATCGATAAATAAAGTCGTAGAGGAGAGAGAGTATAGGAGGGACTGAGAAAGGGAGAGAGAGAGAGAAAGAGAGAGAGAGGGAGCCTGGAGGGACCCTGGAGGTCGCCATCACCACAACAACAAAGTTCCTGTGGCGGGCGTCTGTACCACCTCGCTCCTCCTCCTCGCTCCTTCTCCTCCTCCTCCTCCTCGCCTGTCTGCTCCTCAGGGAGGGGAATATCTCTGCGTCCCTCTACCCGTCGGTCTGCTCCTGGATTGACACCTTATGGACCAGTGAGGGCCCGCGGTGGTGCCAATCATGCCTCCCAAGAACAGGAAGGTGGCCGTGATGGGCTACAGGAGTGTAGGTAAGCCGTGTGTCTCTCTCTCTGTGTCTCAAGACGTTTTGTGTTCCTGTGGGGAGGAGGAGGCGTCATATAGCCCCCAGGGGCATATTATAGGAAAATAATCGACCTACATACATTTCTAGTCGAATTTGGTGGCTATGGCTAGCTGAGATTATATTTTGAACCGTGTATATGTATGCTGTGTATAGTTATGTAGACTAACTTTACTGTATTGTATACGGTTTTTTATATAATGGGCATGGTAATTCATTTTTGGAAAATAATATTCATTCATTGTAAGTATATTTTGTCATGTTTGGAGACCCATTAAGTACAGTAATCTTAAGTCATAAATGTTGGCAAATGCAGTAAGAACATGAGAACTTGGGAGCCCTTTCAACAGGTCGGTTGGCATATACTAGGCTGGTCCCTTTTAAATCCACCCTTGACTTGCATGTACCGGGTACCTATTCTTCAAGCCTGTTTAAACTTTCTTGTTGCAGTAATGATAGTTGGCACCCCATTTCACTCATCCATAGCCATAGTTACAACAAACTCTATTCACAAAGCAGCACCTCACCATATCTGTCCTAAAAGTAAATTTATCCAGCTTCTACCCATCGTTGTGGGTTGTGGCCTCGTTTTGAAAGTTTCCGAACTGTTTTTAATCCCCTTTGTTCCATTAATTCTCGTGGAAAGGCTAATTTGTCCCCCAGTGGCTGAGGTATATACTACTCCATCTTCAGGGGTATTTCATTGTTGGTGCAGTAAATCACTTAAATTAATCATTTCTGGGATTATGAATTTTTAATGAGAAAATATCTGTTCGGGACCACCCGTTACCGAGAACCATATTGGGGCATCTCGTATCTCCTCCAAGTCATAGTATATCTACTTGTTCTTTAGGTTTACATATGTAATTGCTTACGCTTATTATAGGCTGGCTCCCTCGGGCAGACCCAAAGAGTTGAAGAGCTCTCAATACCAACTACTGATCTGCTACAGGTATAACATTAGAACCTGAATTTCCTGAGACGAATACAGTATCTTGCCTTTTCCAGCTTGCCACATTATTCTGAATGGGTTACGTAAGGTTAGGGTGTTTGGTTAGAACTCGGTTAAAAGTTACTTAGGTTTAGGTTGGCAGGGCTAGTTTATGTTAAGATCCCACTGAAAGAGAGGTTATTTGCCATTAAACTACTGGGACAGGCTTCATCTAGGACAGTGTCAGTGAGTTGGTCCTGTTCATAAGTAAGTACAATTGCCTTTATCTTCGCCCGCCTTGAAGGCGTTGTTATCTTCTTGACTCGGGCACGTCGAGACTGTTGATGTGTTGTTGTGCGTTGTCATTTACGCATCTTTCTACATTACCACTCGTGCAGTCATCGGAAGGATATACCTTCATGCAAGCTGCACGTATTGCGAAGAAGTAGTACAGTACTGTATATTATAATGCTTTGTACAGTATAAGAATGATCCTTTTAAAAATGTTAACGTACTGGTCAAGTGTTAAACCTTCCAATAGTCCATGGGCTATTTCACCTGTTTTTCAACATGAACTGTGTATTTAAAATATGCATTGGGACATATATTTGCATAATATGCATTATGCAAATACAGTATGCATAAGAACTACTAATACTGTGGTTTACATCAGAAGGATTTTCCCTGTTGAGAGCAAAATGCAGGTATTGCATTTCTTCATGTATTTTTAGTTTTCCAACAGTTTATGCAAGTTTTGTCAGTGGTGTACTTGCCTAGTTGTGCTTGCGGGAGGGTTGAGCTTTGGCTCTTTGGTCCCACCTCTCAACTGTCAATCAACTGGTGTACAGATTCCTGAGCCTACTGGGCTCATCAAATCTACATTTGAAACTGTGTATAGAGTCTCCCTCCACCACATCACTGCCAAATGCATTCCACTTGTTAACTACTCTGACACTGAAAAAGTTATTTCTAATGTCTGTGGCTCATTTGGGTATTAAATTTCTACCTGTGTCCCCTTGTCCGTGTTCCACCCGTGCTAGATAGTTTGTCTTTATCCATCCTGTCAATTCCCCTGAGATTTTGTAGGTGGTTATCACGTCTCCCCTTACTCTTCTGTCTTCCAGGTACGTGAGGTTTAGCTCTCGTAGCTCATACTTCTCAGTTCTGGGACTAGTCTGGTGGCATACCTCTGAATCATCTCTAACTTTGTCTTGTATTTAACTGGATATGGACTCCAGGCTGGAGCTGCTTACTCCAAGATTGGTGTAGTACCATTTGTTGCATTGTTGAAAGTTAACTCATCTCTGAGAAAGCACAGCAAATTTAAGAAATACCAGTACAGTAAAGTATTTTATTAGTTTTGTTTAGTATATTGTTTTATTTAGTTTTGTTTAAATCATAACTGTCTTTGCAGGAAAATCCTCATTGTGCATCCAGTTTGTTGATGGGCAATTTGTTGACTGTTACGACCCAACTATTGAGAACACATTTACAAAGAAGCTGAAGGTAAGTTGCAGTTTTACTGTAGTTTTCCATGTAAAACACTAAACATTGTTATAATTGGCTAGGCCTATCTTGAAAATAAATCAGAAATAAAAGAGTTTATATATAAATGCCTTTTAATAGCCCCCTCCATATGTTGAACGGGGGGGAGGGGTATATAACAGAAGCCAGTCTGTCGTTTTCACTAATGCAGCTAAATGAATTATTTGCTAGATTTTAATATATTATATAGGAGAATCTTTTTTCGGCAATACCCAAATGCCTATAACTATAGCCCTATGATATAGGTTATATTTTGAGATGATTTCGGGGCTTTAGTGTCCCCACGGCTCAGTCCTCGACCAGGCCTCCACCCCCAGGAAGCAGCCCGTGACAGCTGACTAACACCCAGGTACCTATTTTACTGCTAGGTAACAGGGGCATAGGGTGAAAGAAACTCTGCCCATTGTTTCTCACCGGCGCCCGGGATCGAACCCTGGACCACAGGATCACAAGTCCAGCATGCTGTCCGCTCAGCCGACCGGCTCCCTAGGCCAGAGTCCGTATTGCAAAAGTGGATAAAGTCGATCAGTCAGAGGTACCTGGTGTCATAGTGGTACTCTACTTGCCCGGTGTCTCGTGAACAATTTTATCTTGTCTCACTCCCTGTCCACAAAGGGTTAACTGGGGCACCAATCCTTAACTGTTTGCTCCTGTTCGTCCAACAGTAATTGAGGACCTGGTTGTTAATTGATTGGCAGGTCATGTTCCAATGAAAATTAGTAGGGTAAGGTTAAATATATAAAAAAATATTCTGCAACAGACCTTAATTTCTAGATCATTTCCAAAAATTTGACATACAGTACAGTATACTTTATATTGAAATTAGTTAACGTGTGTATCAGTTGATGTGTTGGTCCTGCAGGATATTAATGGCAAATATATCATTACAGTTGAGTTGTGGAGCATGTTGCATATCCAGTTTCTTTTGGCAACAAAATGCCTAATGGGATTTGTCATTTTTGTTTTCCTTGTGTTTTATGCTTTTTTGAATTATATTCTTTTTATCATGGAGCTTCCCAAATTTTATGTAACTTCTGCTACATCAATCCCACTTGTACATCTTTGGTGTTTGTAAAAAAAAAATCTCCTTTGTACAGTGCATTTGTGTATAGGTATTGGACAGCTTGCCATAGTTAAGCTAACACATAGCCAACCTATTGTATTTTTTTGGTCAAATTGTCATGCCTTTAGTATAAAATTATTATGCATGAATATAACATGATAGTACTACCACTCTCTCACACCTGCATTCCCACACCTACACTTTCCCCACACCCTGGGACTTCCCACAGACTGGGAGGCATATGAAGGTAAAACAGAGGACTTTTAGAACTGTAAATTTGTTAACCTGATCCTGGAAACATTCATATACTGTGTCAACATGTTAAACAAACTACAAGGGTGAGGGGAAGGGGATGTTCCCTTCATGCTGGAGTTGATATTCACCAGGAAAGAGGAAAAGATATTTGACATTCAGTACCTTCCTCCTGTATAACGAATTTACTCGGTTTCTATGATCGAGCCACAGAGATTTACAGGAAAGAGATGGTTGGGTTGACTGCATCTATCTGGACCTAAAAAGGCTTTCAACATAAGAGGTTGTTCTGGAAACTGGAACATATTGGAGGAGTGACAGGTAGGCTTCTAACATGGATGAAATGTTTTCTGATTGACAGAAAAATGAGGGCGGCAATCCGAGGTAATGTATCAGACTGGAGAAATGTCACAGGTGGAGTGCCACAGGGTTCAGTTCTTGCACCGGTAATGTTCATTGTCTATATAAACGCTCTACCAGATGGAATACAGAATTATATGAACATGTTTGCTGATGATGCTAAGATAATAGGAAAGATAAACTTTGATGATTGTCATGCCCTTCAAGAAGACTGGGACAAAATAAGTGTATGGAGCACCACTTGACAAATGAAATTTAGTGTGAATAAATATTATGTTATGTGGAATACGAGAGACATGTGGAATAGCCATGTTTTGAGATGTGGAATAGAAGAACATAGACCCCCACACTACCTATAAATTATGTGAGAAATTTTTAAAGAAATCTGATAACGAAAGAGATCTAGGGGTGGTTCTAGATAGTTTTCTATCACCTAGGGACCACATAAAGAACATTATGCGAGGATCCTATGCAATACTTTTTGATTTCAGAATTGCCTTTAAATACTGTACAAGGATGGCGAATTACTAAAGAAATTCTTCACGACATTTGTTAGACCAAAGCTGGAATACTGTATGCAGCGGTTTTGTGGTACCCATATCTTAAGAAGCACATCAACTAACTAGTATAGTTAGTTGATGTGCAAAGGTGCAAAGACATGCAACTAAATGGCTTCCAGAACTGAAGGACAAGAGCTACGAGAAGAGGTTAGAGGCATTAAATATGTCAAACTAGATGATTGAAGAAAGAGGCGATATGATCAATATGTACAAAATAGTAACGGGACACTACAAATTGATAGGGAAGAATTCCTGAAACTTGGAACTTTAAGAACATGAGGTCATAGATTTAAACTAACAAAACGAAGCTGCTGAAGAAATATAAGAAAATTCACTTTCGCAAACATTGTGGTAGACGATTGGAACAAACTAGGTGAAAAGATAGTGGAGGCCAAAACCGTCAGTAGTTTCAAAGCGTTATTTGACAAAAAGTGCTGGGAAGACGGGACACCACGAGCATAGCTCTCATCCTGTAACTACACTTAGATAATTACCTACACATTCACACACACTCCCACACCTACACTTTCCCACACCCCACACTTTCTCAAAGCAACCCCTCGATCCCCCACAACAACTCGTAGGGAGAGTGTAAGTTTGTTTTTTAAAGACGACAGTATTTATAAAATTTGTTTTATGAAGTACGCTTGGCACAGGGGACCAGAGATACCTCAAGCAATTTGCTGTTAAGCATCTAGTTTTGGAATACAGTTACTGTAGATTACGATGGAAGGATACTGTACCTCCAATCTCAATAAAAGAAGCTGAAGCACTAATGCTTTATAGAATGTCAGCTGAGAAATATGTAAAGGGTCTATAGATAGTGGATGATATATATACCCAGCCTTTAAAATATATTGATACTAAATACTGATACTACCTCTTCATTATTTTGACCCAGTCAACACATCCACACCATTTTACCATAAATAAAGTGAGACAAATAAAATATTAGTTTTCTAATGCCTGGAACCATATAACAGGAAATTTGCATCATGCTTAATGAGTGAGTGTGTGGCAATGATGCCAAAATGTTGTTTGCTACATAATATATCTTTATTTTGTCTGGCCAAATAAACTTATCCATGCTATCTTGCTGTAAATAAAGTGAATGATTTGAGAAAGATGGTTATTAACCCAAGAATCGTAAAAAAAAAATAGGCCTGGGAACTTACAGATTAAGCAATGTTGGAGTGAAGAGATACTTAAACCTCTTTACATCTAGCCAGATATTGGTTGATCTTTTCTTAAATTACTGTACCTGGAACTTCAGGTATCTACTGGACATCTCGAGGTACCAATTGGTTTGGTTAATCGAGTATGCAATCTAATGTGTGTAATTTTACAGGTTAGAGGGCAAGAATATGGCTTGGAGTTAGTAGACACGGCTGGACAAGACGAGTACAGCATCTTCCCTGCGCAGTACTCGATGGATATCCATGGCTACGTTTTGGTCTACTCCATCACATCAGAAAAGTCATTTGAGGTGGCACAAGTCATTTATGATAAAATTCTTGACATGATGGGCAAAGTCACGTGAGTTCTGGGAGTACTACTTGTTTTATTACTCATTGCAGACTTTTGGGAATTCAATAGTGTTTGTATACTAGCTATCATGGCATGGAGTTACTGAAGGTGAATATCTGGGGCCAGATTCATGAAACAGTTGCGCAAGTACTTACGAATGTGTACATCTTTCCTCAATCTTTGACGGCTTTGATTACATTTATTAAACAGTTTACAAGCATAAAAACTTCCCAATCAACTGTTGTTATTGTTATAAACAGCCTCCTGGTGCTTCGGAACTCATTAACTGTTTAATAATTGTAAACAAAGCCTCCAAAGATTGAGAAAAGATGTACAGGTTCGTAAGTGCTTGCATAACTGCTTCATGAATCTGGCCCCAGGTTCTGGATGAAAATTGGAATTTAGCATTAGACAGATTGCTTTGGTTTTACTTGATTGAATACAGGTGCTGTTTGTGTAAAGCCTTGGAGTATCCAGCTACCATTACCAGTGACTATGCCATCCTTGTCCATCTCCTTTATACAGTTTGTATTGTCAAATTACACTAGTTCGGTAATATACTCATTTCTGTATGATACAGTATTTAATTTTCTCCAGTCCACTCGATAAGCAAGTGAATATAAACTGTTATACCTCAAATGCTTGCTGTGTTTCTCTAATTCTCAGTTATTTTGAGGGACTGTTACCGTATTAGCTTTTCATATATACTGTATTTACGTAATGAACTGTGTGCAGTTGGTTATTGAAAAACAGATTTAAAAAATAGTTTTAGATGTTTGGTACAGTGCCAGTGCTAGATAAGGCATGTTATTTAAATCATGCTGTGTCAATATTACATAGGAATAATGGTTAGTGAAAAGTTTTTTGAAAATCAAGGGTGTGTGTATGCAGCATTATATCATCTGATTAGGATGTTAAAAGTGGACGAAACATTATTTTGGCCAAAGGGGTTTGAGAAGAGTGCTAAATAATTCACTAAATATATTTATATAACAAATTATGCAGTGTCTTGGAAGTAACATTTTAAAACTATATTATATGTAACTAAAACTTTGCCCAGCTGACAATATGCTCGACTTATAATTATAAGTTAATAATGTAATTCAGGTTTTACCAAGCCTCTGAATAACTACCACTTGGGCTGGACGGTAGAGCGACCGTCTCACTTAATGCAGGTTGGCATTGAATTCCCAGGTCTTTCCTAAATCTAAACTTACCCATTGTTTCGTGTTCTGTCTTGTGTTGATACTTTTAATACCCTACTAATATCCCCTTTGTTATATCTATTCATCCACTTGTACACCTCTTTCGTGTCACCCCCTGACATAATGTCACCATTAATGTCACCACTTTCATATTCGTGGGTTGGATTGTTTCTTCAATCACATTAGTGTGATTTATTCTTTGCTGGCTCTTTTATCTTCAGAAATTTGTAGTGATGTGGACAGAATACTTTTTCTTGAGAATATTGTACTGTATTTTGGTGCTGTTGCAATGGTTTAATGTGTGAATGAAAATGGACTTCAAAGTATTGATTGAAGATTACACGAGAGAACTATTTAATAAGCTGTAAGTTACTATATTGTTCAGGAACTGAAAGATGAAATTGATTTACATGGAGATTTGCTGATGGGAGTGTTAGGAATAAGTAAAAATGCTAATATTGTAGGACTGCTGCATTTTTGTAGAATGCTCATGATATCAGTGGCTCATAATTTATATGAGCTATTGATTACTTGAATGTCTGATTGCTGTATTTTTGTTTTTCTGTTTTTACAGTGTTCCAGTAGTTTTAGTGGGCAACAAAAATGATCTTCACATGGAACGTGTGGTGACCACTGATCAAGCACGCAAAGTTGCCGATACCTGGAAGGCAGTTTTTCTTGAGACTAGTGCCAAGCAACATGAGGTTTGTACATGCTCCATGTTATTTTTACATATAGAAGTAAATATTGTTAGCTGTAGAATGCTTGGCCTTGGTCACCCATAGACTGTGGGATAATTAGCACAAATAAAAGAAATAACTCCATTGATGGGTATATCTCTGAGCACACACACCCCTCTTCAGTGGTTCTTGATGTTCTTCTCCATTTTATCCATCAGCTTTTCAATGTATGCTTCTTTTCTCTCTTACATTTCTGTCATTTTAAATGCTTCCATTATGAGGTTTATGAATCTTACAGTCCAAATGTCCATTTCTTGCTTTGTAGGCCTTCCAGTCTGTTGATTTCAAGTTGAGTTGTACGAACAATCATAATTTATTTTTATCTGCTCTTACTATAATCTAATATCTTTTATCTAATAATTATAATTATTTAATGATTATCTAATAATCTCTTACTATAAACTATGGGTGCATTATGAAGATATCATCATGAACACGAGAGTGAATAAGGCAGGCAGCCTTAATACTAAAAATCTCCATCTCGCAGGATGGTTAGTCATATAGGACCATATGTTCAGTAGCCGGCACTAGCAAATTTTGGATGCATTATGATGATATCCCCAAGAACAAGAGAGTGAATAAAGTATAGTGTAATTACAAAGCTCTACATAATTGATATATATATATGTTCATATGATTTTCACAACTCTGTATGGTTATATTATGGTTATAATAAAGTATACCAAGTCAACCAGTCTTCATTTGAAAATAACAATTAAACTACAGAAGGCCCATTGACCCATACGAGGCAGTTCCTTTTATGTCCGCCTAAATTTTGTTGATTGCATTTGTTGTAGGCCTAGATACATTATCCTTATATTAAGTAATGTACTCAATCTATGTTTTTGTAAATTACATGCACATAAATGTAGTAATTCAACACAAATACTATAGTGAAGGAACGATTGTAGAAACATCCTAGGTCAAGACTGGAGTCCTCCACCACGTGCCGCTCTGCTGTATTGGCAAGATGCTTAGTTTAGCACTGACAGGTGTGGCTGGGAGTGCCGCCGCTGACCCTCTGTAGTGGATATGTAGATATTTGACGTTATTAAACTTTTCTTCCTCACATTTTGCATCCAAATCAGTCATTCTACAAGGAACAAAATGTTTGTTTAATGTTATTTTTGTGTGTTTAATGTTATTTTTGTGCACATGGGAAAGACATGCATAAATATTTATAGCCACACTTTAAGGATTAAAAACTAGCACTTGGCCATTCATTATATCATCCACACATATCATACATAGCATCATTATGAAAGCTATACTCTGTCATCGCACATTGTTAATTCTCTGTTATTATAAGCAAGCATGACATTCAAGTATGCAGCCACCCTAAATAAAACAAGCTATGTGTGGTGCTTCTTTGTAAGTTGTCATATACACTACAAACAAATCCATTTACGAACAAATCCACAAGGGCCGTGATGAGGGTTCGAACCTGCGCATGAGATGTTCCCAGATGTGGCTTAAACAACTGTACCACATGGTAGTGTTAACTTACATCCAGTGCGTAGGTTCGAAACCCTCATCACGGCCCTTGTGGATTTGTGATTTTGATATATTACGCTATTGTGATTTCTGCGTGTAAATCCATTTACATTATCCTTAAAAATTCATTATAAGGTGAATCACTTTGAATTTTTTAGTACTAACTACATTGTCTAGTTGGGAATGGGAGCAGAATTAATTCACTTAGCAATTGGAATGTGTAGCTAGGTTTGTATCCTTGAAAATTATTAATAATTTGAAAGGATATGTGATGAAGTCCCTAGAGAAGAATGCAAAAGCATAGCTGGATTTATGAAGAAAAAAAAAGATAAGAAGGATAGTAAGTTTGTCGATACATATTCCCATGACACACATATGGAAGGAGACTGCTGAAAATATCATAATGTTATGGAGTGGCAGATAATATTGATGGAAAAAATGGAAGTAATTGCAGTCTGAGCAGTGGAAAAACTGTGGAAAGTGAAAAGACTTTGAAATCATCTTATAACTAAGCGCATGTGCATGCTGTGCATAATGAAGAGACGCAACTGGTAAAGAATCTAGTTTGTTACTGTGTAAGGTAAAGATACATAAAAAAGGATTAGTGAATATTTTGTATTTAATCTGCCCAACTTTAATAGAAGGTACAGCTAAGTAATAATATCACTGGCTTTCTTGAAACAGAAAATAATGTTGTTTTTCTTCTCTAATGAATGCTTTTTTACATAAAATTTAATTAAATCTGTCATTTTCAGGCTGTGAATGACATCTTTACAAGAGTCATTCTAGAGATTGAGAAGGCTGATGGGAACTCAATCCGAGAAGGAACATGCAATATTTCATGAAGTCTTTGTGATATAGGATGGATTTTGCAGTGCCGTCTATCATCTTGACTCATGATTTGGATTTTGTGGAATGGACTTTGTATGTGGGTTAATCCTTTTTTTTTTTAATGGTTAACCAAATCCAGTTTTTGTTGTATTTGTATGTTGGACCTATTGTTCATGGCCTTGCCCAAGTCTCGGTATGAGCTGTTCTACTAGGTGCCATTTAGTTCTCTCCTTGTCCTTTGTATTCTTGCCAGAAGGAATCGTTTTAGTAACTAGTAGGTATGGCTTATACCTCAAGGCTCAGGTCAAATGGGGTGGTTGAAACTCCTGTTAATTCACTGCCTCCAATAATGGCGGCAGACATTAGACTCTGTGGTCCTTATTTTCTCAAAAGCTAATGGGACTTTATTTTTCGTATAGTGGAAAAGTTTTTAAGATGCAAATAGTGTGATTAAGTAATCGCATTATTTGCCATTGGTGTCTTTAGTTACTGTTTAGATCCTCAGTTTTGTACGATATATTTACAAAAGTGACAGGTAATGTTATTTACCTTTTGAATGCATTTTGGATATATCTTATTGATACATTAGTATTTTTTCTTTAACATGGTTATAGTCACAAATAGTAAATTTTTGGTGGCTGAATAAAAGTTTAAGTTATATATACATATATAACTATAAATGCCTTGTTTGGGACTGCCATGTAGAAATCCCATGCTCATTTTGCAGAAAAGTTGTCCTTTATGGAAACAAAAAAAAAAATGGTGTGATTTAGCACTGTTTCTAAATATTATAGACTTAAGGAACTGATGAGAGTATGGGACTGTGTAAACAAAATATTTGGTAATGTAGCTAGTTGAACAGAATTTTCCTAGATAATGCAATAAAGTTTATAGACAACATTTATGTATATAATTTTATCCCTTTGCCAATTGACAGATTTTATGAAATATAATGGCATCTAATGTTACTTTACAACAAGAGAAAATTTGTTAGAATTTGAAGGATTCATGTAGTATAAATTTAGCTTGGTGCTTAGTGCTCACAACTGAATAATCTCGGGCCAAGTTCCTGGGTAGGGCAAGATACTGTATTTGGGGAACATTTACTTTTGGTGCCCCCGTTTGCCTAGTAGTAAATAAGTACATGTGAGAGAGAGAGGCATCTGTTGTAGGCTTACAGTCATTAACATTTGAGAACCATTTTCAATGCTAGATTATTATTGAGCTGATCGGCTTCACTTCTTGCTAGGTCGACATTTGATCCACGTAATGGTCCAAGTGGCCGGGCCAATGAAAACTTTGTTCCTTCACCCTGTCTTCCTGTCCCAACTCCTTGTCCTTTTATCCCTTTCAAATGCTGTACAGTATATCATACTGGCTTAGAGCTTTCTCTGGGAAATTTCTCTCCATTCACCTAATGTTCACATATTGTACGGTATTCTATCCTCATAATGTTTGTCTTTTTAAGTACCAAATTTTTTCTCTATATAATTACCCTTCTAAATTTTGTTCACAAGTATAAATAACTGCATCACAACATACTTTAACCTACTGTCTTTTTTTTTTTTTTTTTAATGAAGGGTCTTGGTAGTACATTGGCTATGTTCTCGACTCGCAATTATTTATTTACTGTATTTTTTCTGACACTCATGGATATGCCGGGTTCAATTTTTTTTTTTAACAATTTAAGAAGATATTTTTTTGTTTGTTTTTGCAATGGGTGTAACATAGTACACACATCTGAAGCCACAGAGAACTGGAGAGTTATATTTGCTTTGACCTTACTTTCAGTTAAGGGAAAATCCTCTCCCTTTCAGAGCCATTATTTGAAGCAGGAGTTGAATCCCTATATTAGGGAATTCAGAAATGTAATTGGTGCCTGAGCAATATCTTTTAAAAATAATTATCACTTCAGTTTAGTAGTGAAAATTATGTAATACATTTCATTACGAATAATGATTGATGAAGGATATTAAATGGTCAAGTTTGATAGGTTTTATATACGAAAATGGTATCACTGTTAGTATAGTTATATTAAGTTTACATAAAGACTGAAGTGCTAAGAGATAGGTTTTGTATAGGAAAAGACTCGATATTAACCAGAAATTGCAATGAACTGGGGAAACAAACTTGGAAGAACATTTTATGTCTAAAGTCATATTAAAATGACAATAAAAATGTTTTTCTGTAACCAGCGGCAGCCATGTTGGACAGAGACTCTATCATACACGGAGCAGTTTTAACGGTTTTTGCATAACGTCTTAAGTGATGATTGGTCCAATGTTTTGGAAAGCGGTAACCAAATATTTACCATTTATAGAATAAATATTACTATATGGTTGCGGGGCTATACAGATTAAACTAACGTGTACTTTGCATTTAAAAACGTTGGCGTTAAAGGGAAAAAAGCATATACTGTATACAGAATATATTTGACAGTGATGTGGTAATAAAAGGAGTGTTATATTCCATGTGATGGTTCCTTTAGCCAGAATCCTGCTGCAATATTTGTTGATAGGCTCTTGCAATTGATTCCAAAAAGGCTATATTAGTATTACTGTATGATTTGTTCCATTTTTTTTAAATAAATACATTTTAAAGTTAATTGCTTTATTTTCAAGCCAGTGGAATTACAAATTTACTCAGTTGAATATTTACAGAATATTTTATATTTTGAAAAAAAAATACTAGTGTGTAACAATGGGTCAGCGTACTGTCTACTTATTTTTCTCTCGGAATTTATTTATAAACAGGATGAGATTGGTTGCACAAAAAATACCTCACATAGGATCTATATTGAGGTTATCTTGAGATGATTTCAGGGCTTAGCGTCCCTGCGGCCCGGTCCTCGACCAGGCTTCCTTTTTATTACACCCGCCCCAGGAAGCAGCCTATAGCAGCTGTCTTAACTCCCAGGTACCTATTTACTGCTAAGTGAACAGGACCATCAGGGTGAAAAAAATCTGCCCATTTGTTTCCGCCTCCAAAGGGGATCGAACCTGGAACTTTAGGACTACAAATCCCGAGCACTGTCCACTCAGCTGTCAGACCCCCTATGAATATGGCTGCACAATAAAATACTGTACCTCACATAAGATTAGCATGGCTGCACAAAATACCTCACATAGATGAGTATGGCTGCACAATAAAACGCCTAACAGGATGAGTATGGATGCACAATAAACTATTGCTCACAGGATGAATATGGGGTGGATAATAAACTACCACTCGCAGGATGAGTATGGGGTGCATAATAAACTACCCCTCACAGGATGAGTATGAGGTGCACAATATATTATCACTCACAGGATGAGTATGGGGTGTACAATAAACTACCACTCGCAGGATGAGTATGGGGTGCACAATAAATTACCCCTCACAGGATGAGTATGGGGTGTAGAATAAACTACCCCTCACAGGATGAGTATTGGGTGCACAATAAACTACCACTCAGGATGAGTATGGGGGACACAATAAACTTCCCCTCATAGAATTAGTATCGGGTGCACAATAAACTACCACTCACAGGATGAGTATGGGGTGCACAATAAACTACCCCTCTCAGGATGAGTATGGGGTGCACAATAAACTACCCCTCACAGAATGAGGTTGGATGCTAATACAGTATTTATAGTCGATTAATGTCACCCCAATGAATGAAATACGACCTTATTTAAGGCGTGCTATTAAACAAGTAATTTAAATAACTCGTTTGTTAGATAATATATAATACGTATATCCACAAGGTGTTTTAGAGAGGCCTATAATGCAGAAATATATTATTTTTTAACCTTGGAAATCTATGAAGGAACTTCAATATGGCGTTCTCCTTGGAACCATATGAAGGAACTTCAATATGGCGGCCAAATAACGTCATCAAATTTATATCCTTCCCGCCCGCTATATCTCTGCGGTGCTCCCAACCGTGTGTTTACATGAGTGTTGTGAGGAGTGTCATGAGGGTGTGGCCACTCACTCATGAGGACCCCTCACCGACCCCTCACTGGTGACCAGCGTGGGTCATGGAGTAGCTCATGCACCAGGCTGTACCATGTCTCAAGATCATTTATAGAGGCTCCTAAGACAATTAGAGGCTCTTGAGACCATTTTTTTGAGGCTCTTTGAAATAATTAGAGTCCCCGGGACCAGGCTCTTGAGACAATTAAGAAGACATTTTTTATCATTGAAGGTGTTCAATACATACCAGAATTACAGCACGTGAGGGTCATACATGCAGAAATAGGTACTATACATGGTATTCATTCACTGGTAAGACAAAAGGTGCGTAACTGTGAGGAATATTTCGAGGCATGTCTACGCAGTCTTATTTATTTAAGTTATTCCTTAATAATAAATTTACTTGTAGGACCTGGTATGGGTGCACAAAGCACCCTTAACTAAGTTAAAAATGCACAAATTCAACTGATTGTTAATTATACACTGGTAAAGTATGTGGAATTTTAAATTGTAAAATATTTGTAGAATCTGTTAAGAAATTATTATTTTTTTTTTATTAACAAGCCTAGGTACTCGCCTAGTTGTGCCTGCGGGGGTTGAACTCTGGCTTTTTGGTCCTGCCTCTCAACTGACAATCAACTGATGTACAGATTTCTGAGCCTACTGGGCTCTATCACCTCTACATTTGAAACTGTGTATGAAATATTGCCAGAACAACCATGGACATCTTCAAAGAGGAAACTATTTTGTTTCCTCCAAGGAGTTCCGGACCAACCGGTCTGTGGTGGGTATGTGGGCCTGCAGGCCACCCCAAGCAACAGCCTGGTGGACTAAACTCTCACAAGTTAAGTCTGGCCTCATGCTGGGCTTGGGGAGTAGAACTCCTAGAACCCCATCAAGCAGGAGTCAGCCGCCACCACATCACTTCCTAGTGCATTCCATTTACTAACTAATCTGACTAATCTGCCTGCGGGGCCGCTCCAAGCAACAGCCTGGTGGACCAAACTCTCACAAGTCAAGTCTGGCCTCGGGCCGGGCTTGGGCAGTAGAAGAACTCCCAGAACCCCATCAACCAGGACACTGAAAAAGTTCTTTCTAATGTCTGTGTGGCTCATTTGGGTACTCAGCTTCCTCCTGTATTACCTTGTGGGTGTACCACCTGTGTTAAATAATCCATCCTTATTTACACTGTCAATTCCCGAGATTTTTGTATGTGGTGATCATGTCTTCCCGAGCTCTTCTGTCTTCCAGCAACGTGAGGTGCAGTTTCCTCAGCCTTTCCTAGTAACTCATGCCTCATAGTTCTGGGGCTAGCCTAGTGGCATACCTCTGAACTTTTTCCAGCTTCGTCTTGTGCTTGACAAGGTACGGGCTCCATCCTGGGGCCACATACTCCAGGATTGGTCTTACATATGTGGTATACAAGGTTCTGAATGATTCCTTACACAAGTTTCTGAAGGCAGTTCTGATGTTAATGAGCCTCGCATACGCCGCCGATGTTATTCTTTTGATGTGGGCTTCGAGAGACAGGTTTGTTGTGATATCTGATCTTTATCTATCTGAACTCTTAGATCTTTCTCTGTTCATTTCATAAAAAACTTCATCTCCCATTCGGTATCCAGTGTCTGGATACACAACAATGTGCTGCTAGCTTATGTGAAGATGGAGAAATAAAACAAAGTCAATAAAAGTTGGCATTATTATTCAGTGGTGCATTTTGGAGTGGACCATAAAATATTGGGAAATGAGCAGTAATTTCTCATTCTTCCCAGCTTGTTGCTGCCTTTTGATAATTACTGCTCAGAACTATTTCATTATGTACATTCCCATTATGAACCTCACCCACTCTAATGATTTTGGATATATAGCATACACTTTTATGGAATACTACATTATTTGGATTATGGCTCAAGAAGCTCTGTGCACTATTTGAATGGATACAGAAACTTTTGTTCATAAGATTGTTTAGCAATACAGTAGTGTTATTGTTATTGAGTTAGGGGTAGCTATAGCGTGGCCCTGTGTACCTCATTTCTTCCCATGTAAGGAAAAGCTCAAAGGTCAGAGTTAATACATTGCCTGTGGGCAGAATTACTTCTACACCCTGTGGCAGATTATCACAGCTAGGCACATGCTTGGTGGCCCTCGGTGTCCCATGGGGAGGCGAGGAACAGAGCCCACACTACGCACAAGACAATCCACCAGAAGACTATCGACATGCAGTGGCCCCAGAGAATAAAGGCATCAGGCATCCTGTGACACTGAGTAGTCAAACAAAGTCAGAGCCTAATGATAAAATCAATAAGGCCCCTCCAAAATTCTAAACAAAATCAGGAAAAAGGAAGCAGTGTCTTCCAGAATTACTTCCTCATTTCTTCCCATGTAAGGAAAAGCTCAAAGGTCAGAGTTAATACATTGCCTGTGGGCAGAATTACTTCTACACCCTGTGGCAGATTATCACAGCTAGGCACATGCTTGGTGGCCCTCGGTGTCCCATGGGGAGGCGAGGAACAGAGCCCACACTACGCACAAGACAATCCACCAGAAGACTATCGACATGCAGTGGCCCCAGAGAATAAAGGCATCAGGCATCTTGTGACACTGAGTAGTCAAACAAAGTCAGAGCCTAATGATAAAATCAATAAGGCCCCTCCAAAATTCTAAACAAAATCAGGAAAAAGGAAGCAGTGTCTTCCAGTGACCTCTGACAGAGCAGTCAGGTGTTCACAGCTGCTTGAGCACACACGAGGAGCCTACCAAGACCCGCTAACTCCTGGTACCTCTCCAGCAAGCCACCAGTGGACACCATCTCCTTCCCCACTCCCATTAAAACCAGCCAGAAAAACTGAAAAAATCCATCAACTTCTCTATGACTCCAAGCAATAAGTAATAATAATAATAATAATAATAATTTATTAACAAGAAGGTACAGTTGGTTAGTGAGATTACATAAGATTGGTATTTGTACATTCATGCAAAGCCACTAACATGCATAGCATTTTGGGCAGGTCCTTAATCTAACATATCAGGTAAGATGAAAAGATTCATTGTAGCAAGGTTTTATATTAACAAATAACTAAAATATACATTGACAGAGGTGATTACACTGGTAAAGATATGCTGTATGTCTTAAGTACTAATATTGGGAAGTGGGTAGTACAAGGTAGTGTGAGTGTTTGAAACACAAGGCAGGATGAAATTTGGTACGTTTTGGTTTTACTTTTGAATAGGGCATAGGTTGGACAATTTTTTTAATTCGTCAGGGAGTGAGTTCCAAAGACTAGGTCCTTTTATTTGCATGGATGCCAGATGTCATATAAAGCAGATCATTGAAGAGGAATGCCAGACAACAGTATCAGAACCCAAAGGGCTCTAACTGAATAACATTGGCCAGAGGTCCCCAGGTGTCCTTTTTTATTATGTCCTGTTCTAACATAGAGCTCAGCTTTAAGTCTCAACTGTACTTTTGTGTCCCAGTACCTCCCCAAAATTTCCTTCCTTAAGATAGCAATAAGAGTGCTTGCATGCTCCAGTTCAATTGCCTTCCATTCCTGCTTATAGGATGTTCATGTCAGGGAGAATGTGAGCTAGTCCTACTCAGGGAACCCAGTTTACATGACTATATTGCCACCTGGTGGTGATCTAGGGTAGTGACTGGTCGGCCAAATAACAGTTAATGAGTTTATTATCGAGTTAATCGAGTTTATGTGAATAAGCTTTTAAGCGGTTCTTAAGTGGTTTTCCTTGTGCCAGTAGCCTATAACTTTGCATGGATGTTGCAAAAGACCCATGCTGTACTGGTGTAGAATATTTGACTGCATGAGGTTGTCCAAGGCACCAGCAGGAGGAATTTTCCTAAACAGCTTAGTATCGTGCTTAGAAAGTAGTCTTTCATATACAGTATAGCAGACAAAGCCAATGTATAAATTGAGTGTTAAACAGCCAAATTTCTCTCAACAGGATTTTTAAATCATGGCGATTGGATGCAAGGTCACGGTTGAACCTGTACTGTTCCTGTACATGTTGGCAGTTTTCATGCTGCACCCTGCTTTACAAGATCTTATATACACAAAGGTAAATAGTGTTCATGTATGGCTTTTTTGTTTTTTTGTACAAGAATTGAGTTAATATTTTGTATGAAATATGTACAGTAATTAAATTAAGTACAATTATTTAGTTAAGAGTTACCCATAATTGTTATTAGAATAATAATGCAATACTGTACTATGCTCAAATACAGTGTTGAAATTAGCAGACTGAAGGTTAACAGGATAGGCTTGAGTAGGTCTTCCTTATAGGGATGTCAGCACATGGAGATTGATTGATGAAAGGACAAAATGCATGTGGTATGGTAATACATAGCCTAGGCTAGAGAGAAAATTTAATGTGTTCAAGAACTGAAATACAGTACTGTACTCCAAAACACGATACCTGTATTATCTTCCTTCATATATTTTGTACTGTACATACTTGCTGATTACTAGTACATCAGCAAGTATGTACAGTACATATGTACATTTCCAGGAGGGACCCTTAAATGACTCTTTGAGCTTACCTCTGGCATCAACAAGCCTTCAACCAACAAACCCATGCATCACCTACCGGGACCCAGGACCAGTCTCTCGCTTGCTATGAATTGATGGGGAGCACTGGATAAAAGATCAACCTCAAAACTGGGGAAACGCAACAGAAAGCATAAGCACAGCAAAACAAGATACTATGGCCAGGGTAGGGGTTGGCTGACACTTTCCAATACCCCACCAGAGGAAACTTCTCTGGGGGATTGCTATGTTTATGTACACTTGAGAATTTGGTGCATGATAGCCATTCTTTGCCCTGGGCCCCCTCTTCTCCTACTGTTTTTTCTGAAAATCTGACCTCCTTTATCAAGTCACTACTGTGAATAAGCTTGAGGAGCCACTGAAGGGGTCCCTCCAACAAATCAAGCATTAAATATTATGAAATACCTTTTTCTGGTGGGACCTAAGTGGTTACCCCAACCCCACCCCTGTTCTCTTCTTCTCCATGGGGCTATGGAGTTTTGTATGGTGTCTCCAGAGTGAGGAGGAAGATTAGCTGAACTTCAGTTGACCTGGGCTGCCACCTACTGGTGGTCAGGTGCATCACAGTCAGGGTATTTACCAACAACTGTTTGCCTTGTTTATCTTGGAGTACATCATTTTCCCTCAAACAGTCACTTGTTATGTGCCTGGTCTTTGAAGTGCATTATCCTCAATTTTATGATTGATCTCTGATCCCCTGCTTCCCTCGTCACATAGAATGAGTCAAATTCTGGTTCTTGCTCCCAGTAGGTGACAAATTGGCCTTAGTGGCCTGGTGTGTTGGGCTAAGGCTTCCTGGTACCAGAGTTAAGCTATGGGAGCCAAAAAGGGTCCACAAGAAAAGGGCATTTCATTACATGCAATGCAATGCAATGCAGTATTCACAATGGGTATCAGCATGTGAAAGGACATGCCATAGTCAATTTCAGATTAATGTTGAAACCTTTATTGGTGAAGAATTACTTAAAGCAGTAATTAAATGTTGGGATAATTTCTTTATAACAAGAATTTTTAAAGAGAAAATAAAATAAAATGTAAACACATAGAGAAGGCTTAGAAAGGTTGAGACAAAATAAACACTACTGTTTTTCCATGTGTTGCCTAACAAAAATAGGTTACAATACATAAGCAAAATAATTACAGCATGAATCAAGGTAATAGCTAGCAGTGGTAATATTGTAATAATAATAATAATAATTTTATTAAAATTACTAGTAATAGCATTATTGTATACAGAAGTAGGCTCTCTAGTTATGAAAATTGCAAATTAAGTATTACAGATAACATACATGTAATGCTGAGTTAAATATAAGGCCTCATACATGGTAGTACTGTAGTGAAACTTATTGTAGATTGTTAATTAATGCTCAGTAATGTATTACTCGAGTAAAGCTGTATTTAGCAGTCTGGACATATTTGTGTGTATCTAGTTTTTTTTACCAATAGAATGGTAAAATTATTTAAAGCATTTTGAATATTACAGGTTTGTCTTCAAGACTACAATCAGGGGATATGTGATAACTTGTATGCCCCAGAGAACCATGCAGCTCTTAACACTGTTCAGACTGGTTCTTCCCATTGGGTTCAAGGTTCTGTCTTCATGCTTGCGGTTCCTTCCATTGTAACAGCTCAGTTCCTTGGCTCGTGGAGTGACACATATGGGCGTAAAATACCCATGCTCTTGCCTCCAGTAGGTGAGTGTATTAAAACTTGATGTGTAACTGATACCAAAGTTCTCTCAGAGAGAACATTCAGCACAGTGAAACAATTAAGATTAGCATCATCCATTTTTTTTTTATTAAACTAGTAAGTACAAATAAGGCTGCATAGTAACTAATTAAAGATCCCAAGTTTCTCTCAAGGTGACCAGTTTTGTTAGGCAAATTGCAGGCTCCTTTTGACTTATATTACCATGTATCTAGGAAGAGTGCCTCAGTAATGACGGATAAGAGGAAGAATGTTGGTCGTGCACCATTCTCCATGGCTCCTCACCTTTTACTGCTATACATCATCAGTGCTTTTCAAAAAGTAACAAATTGGATGAGCAGGACAATTCCATCATCAAGGGAAATAAAAAGCATGGTTGTACATCATTTGTCCCAAAAATTTAGGTTTTATATGTTGATATTTGGTGGTTAGGTTATCTTGAGATGATTTCAGGGCTTAGCGTCCTCGCGGCTCGGTCCTCAACCAGGACTACTTTTTGTTACACATCCCCAGGAAGCAGCCCGTAGCAGCTGTCTACCTCCCAGGTACCTATTTTACTGTAGATGAACAGGTGCATCAGGGTGAAAGAAATTCGGCCCATTTGTTTCCGCTTCTACCGGGGATCGAACCCGGAACCTCAGTACTACGAATCTGAAGCGCTGTCCACTCGGCTGTCAGACTGTCAGGTCTGGGAATGAATCCTCCATTTATAGCAGTGTGCTTATGGGAAATGTGGTTTTGAATTATGGACATCAGACTTTTTCATGTCTTTTCAAAATGCATTCCAATCACATGTTGGGGGTCTGCCTGCATCGAAATACACGAGATAGCTTTCCCTTTAATGGCGTTTATGCTGATTTGTTCCATTTTGTGAAGACATAATGAACAGTTTCAAAGTGTCCATTGATTATACACTTCTTTTGGTTCAGGGTCTACTCGAAAGTTTCTATTTTTTAATTCTGAATTCAAGAGTCCTTTGGTAGCATGGAAACATAATCAGCTAAGCTCTTGTTAAATACATTAACAAAATTTAAAGTGTAAAAAAGCTTTATTGAAAAAATAACTTGGGAGTTTATAAAGTTGTTCTTTCTACATTCAACAGGTGCAATGTTTGCCAGCTTGCTGTACATTATAATGAGTGTTCATCTTAATGAGATTCCTGTGTCTGTCATCCTACTGGCATCATTCATCAGTGGCATATGTGGAGGCTTCACCTCCTGCATCATGACATGTATGAGCTATGTTGCACAGGTAAGCTGCATGCAATTTTGTACAGGAGAAATTGGGAAGATATAACTTAATCTGAAGATGGAAATTATGATCTTTTGTGTTCCTAAATATGTTTAGGAATTGTTGGAAGGCAGTAGCAAAATTTGACTTGGAAAAAGTTGTTAAATGCAGAACAATATTGAAGGCATTATTGTTCATTTCTGAATGTTTCCCATGCTCTGTGTACTAATATCACTTGACAAAATGTTAATTTCAATCTGTCATGATAGACATCTACTAGGAGAACCTCTCTGTCAAGACATTTCACCATCATCCCCAGTATTTCCCAAGATCTTGCCCCTAAAGCTTATTTTTCAACAGTAGGACCATGGCCCCTCTAATGGTGTAAATAAAGCCAGCAATTCGACTTTCCTATACCTCATCTCTTATTTTTTTTTACTTTAGATTTGTATGAAATACCTTGGAAACCCATTCAATTACATAATTAAGGAGGTATGGTCTCATGAATATACAGTACTGTACTGTATTCAGAATATCATTTGTGGCACCTCCAATGATCTAATTTCAAATCTACTCTGAACAATATCTACTATTGTACTTCTAAAGTGAAAACCAGCTGTACAATTTCTTCCAACTTGGCCCATTATCTCTCTCACCCCAATTTTTTTTTTTTTAAGATTTAAATTTTGTTATGGGTGTATCTCTATAAAAAAATATTTAAAGAGATGTGGGTCAGTACTGAGAACTCGTCACTCTCAAAATGCATTATTTATATATATATATATATATATATATATATATATATATATATATATATATATATATATATATATATATATATATATATATATATATATATATATATATGTCGTACCTAGTAGCCAGAACGCACTTCTATGACTAGTATGCAAGGCCCGATTTGCCTAATAAGCCTAGTTTTCATGAATTAATGTTTTTTCGACAACCTAACCTACCTAACCTAACCTAACCTAACGTTTTCGGCTACCTAACCTAACCTAACCTATAGAGATAGGTTAGGTTAGGTTAGGTAGGGTTGGTTAGGTTCGGTCATATATCTACGTTAATTTTAACTCCAATAAAAAAAAATTGACCTCATACATAATGAAATGGGTAGCTTTATCATTTCATAAGAAAAAAATTAGAGAAAATATATTAATTCAGTAAAACTTGGCTTATTAGGCAAATCGGGCCTCGCATAGTAGGCTGAGAAGTGAGTTCTGGCTACTAGGTACGACATATATATATATATATATATATGTCGTACCTAGTAGCCAGAACTCACTTCTCAGCCTACTATTCAAGGCCCGATTTGCCTAATAAGCCAAGTTTTCCTGAATTAATATATTTACTATAATTTTTTTCTTATGAAATGATAAAGCAACCCTTTTCTCTATGTATGAGGTCAATTTTTTTGTATTGGAGTTAAAATTAACGTAGATATATGACCGAACCTAACCAACCCTACCTAACCTAACCTAACCTATATTTATAGGTAAGGTTAGGTTAGGTAGCCAAAAAAAGCTAGGTTAGGTTAGGTTAGGTAGGTTAGGTAGACGAAAAAATATTAATTCATGAAAACTTGGCTTATTAGGCAAATCGGGCCTTGAATAGTAGGCTGAGAAGTGCGTTCTGGCTATTAGGTACGACATATATATATATATATATATATATATATATATATATATATATATATATATATATATATATATATATATATAATCTGTTTAACTATATACTGTGCCTGCATTCAAAGCTTTATTTTTTAATTGTACGTGAAATTTTTATTGTTTAAATTAGAAATTCGCTATCAACAGGTTAGCAGTTTCCATGCAAGAACAGTACGCGTGGGGATACTGGAGAGTATGATTTTTGTGGGTGGAACAATTGGGCCGCTGTTGGGAGGATGGGTCCAGAAAGTTGGTGGAAGGTCCTCCACTTTCACTTTTATCATGACATGCCATGCAGCAGTTGTCATCTATATTGTCACATTTGTTCGCAATATTCCCCCAAGGTTTGTAAACCCATCTGGGTCATTGATACAAAAGTTATTAATAGTATGTAATACTGTATAGCAAAGCATGGAAGCTATTTTTGTAGAATTCTTTGATGTTCAAATTTAATATTTTAGTCTTAGTTTAACATAAAATTAATTTCACTTTAGAAAATGCATGTGCATGTTTTTGAGAAAGGGTATTGTAATGTTGAAATATGTTTTGTCATTGGAGGGATACGATCTGAGGTTTTATGTATGGATTACATACATTTGAATTTTTCAAAAACTCAGGCATCCCCCGCAAAATTCATGGATTCGTAGTGGCTGTACTTTCCAACACCTGAGAGAATGTGCGGGAACAGTGGTGAAGGAGAGGCAAGAAAAACGTCGCACATACCTGCTGTGGTTGCTTACTGCTGCCACAATTATTATGATTTGTACTGCTGGTAAGTTTAGTTGGAAATTGCAGCTGTATGTGTTGATCTTTTACATTTGGTTGCCCCTTAAATAAGATCCAGTGGACTATAAGAGTCAGGCTGGGGACATTCTCGATACTGGGGTCTTAGGCAACTTTTCAAGCATTCCCTTTAGGGTCTTTAACCCCAAAAGTTTGTCGGGAAAAACTCTTATATAATGATACATTTGCACACAAAAATTAAGGACAATTCAAAGAAACACAAATATATAAGTATTTTACTGTTTTTGTGCTATGGGGCCTTGGAGGTAACCTCTGAGTCAGGCGAACACTTCTCACTGAAGCAAACAAACATTTGTTCCTCTGAGCAATATGCACCCAACACAAACTATTTGGACCAGCAGCAATTTGTAAAGAGTGAGGACCCACTGTATTTACTGAAAGAATATCAATATCAAAATTGCAGTGCAATAGGAAAAACTAAAATGATCAAAGTGTTCAATTTGTGTATTGGTGAATGATGCAGAACTTATGAGCTGAAGCAGCAGTGCTGCACTATGCTGCACTATATTGGAATGATTAATAGGTTAGGTATAATGATTAATACTCATGCTTGTACATTGATGACAGTGTGCAGTTGTACAGTACAATAAAAGAGTGGCATAATCAAATATTCAATAACTGATTTATTAAGGTTTATTAATCTCCCAGGGGCGGGAGTCCCCCAGAGGCGGGAGTCCCCAGGGCCGGAGTCCCCCAGGGGCGGGAGTTCCCCTTAATTACATTTTCAGACCATTGCTCTCATCTTATAGTATGGAGATTCTATAAAGTAAGAGAGTACTTCACACATTTTATATCAAATTAAAAAGAAATATTGTTTACATGTAATTGAGGTGTGGTGTAATTTTTTGTATGTAAAAATGTGGCTATGCCCTGAAGGCAGCTCCTAAATGGAATGTGGCATTATATATATGAGAAATTTGATTTACAAATGTCAGCAGTATTCCAAAAATTGTAATTGCAGAGTACAGTATACCCATAATAATAATTATATTAATAATAATAATAATAATAATAATAATAATAATAATAATAATAATACTTCATTTAAAATATGCACACAAAAGAACATAAGAGGTATAACCATAGGTATAGAGGTTGCACATTAAATTAAGCCATTACTATGCAGAGTGTTTCGGACAAAAGTTAGAATAATTGAGATACAAATTATTTATAGGTATAATGGGGTAAACAGTACTAAATGAGAAGTAAGCTAATATATGTATTGTACAGTACTTATTTCATTGTTTCCCATTTCAGGTGAAATGGACATATCTTACTTGTATGTTAAGGATACCCCAATTCAATGGCCTTTTGAAAAGTACACGTGGTACTTTTCACTGAAGTATGGTCTTGGGGCCTTGGCACTGATAGGTATTCTTCCATTTTGCTCCAAAGTACCAGACATGATCCTAGCTCTGATTGGCCTGACAAGCAAGCTAGTGGGGCTGGTGCTTTTAGGAATTGCTTGGGAGGATACTTCAGTCTTTGTCAGTAAGTCCATAATCCCTGCCACTTGTATAGTCATTAAGTTGTGTTAATAAGACCTTGGGAATCTGTCTTCATCCAAAGTAGCTGTAATTTACACAGTTCTTAAACAACTATATGAGCTTCAAATAAAAATATTGCAGTAAATGTTTTAGTAAAGAAATTAGACTTAACATATTTTGCCATCTATTCAATATGAGAAGGATATGGTAAGTAAATTCATGTTAATATTGATGATGTTAGTCACAGTACAGTATTGCGTGTTATTTAGCTTGAGGCATATCTTTGAGAGCCTTGAAACAACATTACCCACTACCATTATTTCCTTCACATACCATTACCACTAGAAATATCATTACTGTTCAGTACTACCATCACTGCTACTATTACAATCCCTAAGGAAAGTCAAATTAGAACCCCCCATGGGAATGAGTGACCACAGTGTACTGACATTTGATTATCTGGTGAAAGTAAGAATAACCTTCCCAAGGAAAGGATCAAAAAGCAAAAGGCTGGCATACCGAAGGGAAAACTATGAGAATGAGAACACTTCCAATAGGAATACCATGGGAAACAGAGCTCAGAAACACATCCTTACAAGGCATGATGGACTTCATCACCCAAAAGTGTCAGGAAGACAGGTTTATCCAGACCCAAAAAAAAAACAAAAATTAAAAGCAAAAGGGGAATCAATGATTCTATCAGGCATCTAAGGAAGCAAGACAGCTAAGTACAAGAACATGGAGAAACTACAGAAATAACAGAACACCAGAGAACAGAGGGAGATACCAGAGGGCCAGAAATGAGTATCTCAGTGTGAGAAAAAGAGTGTGGAGAAACAGCATTAAAATGACAGCAAATAAAGCCAATGCCCAATCAAAACTGCTACACAGCCACATCAAGAGGTAAAACAACAGTGAAAGAACAGGTGATGAAATTGAGAAAGGAGAGGCTGGGTACACAGAAAATGACAAGAGGTGTATGAAGAACTCAACAGAGACTCCAGGAGGTCTTCAAAATATCACAATGAGAAGTTCCTGAACTAAGAAAGGTGGTGATAAACTAAACAACCTTGGAGGATACTGAAATTACCAGCGATGAGATTAGGAAATATCTGACACAATTGAACGTGACTAAGAGTGTTGGACCCTATAGAATCTCCCCATATTGAGATGTTGTATGGAGACATACAGTATCGAAGTTTTCAGTTGTTACTTTGTGATGTAAATCAGAGAACTTTTTTTTTTTATGGATGTAATGTTCCAGCCAAGGATGGATAACTTAGTTATTTGTGCAAAAAGTTGGTGCAGAAGCACTTTATATGATCTTTAGAAAAAGATCAAAGATATGCCACCAGACTAGGCCTCGAACTGAGAGGTATGAGCTAGGAGGAAAGACTAATGGAATTAAACCTCATGACACTGGAAGACAGAAGAGTTAGGAGAGACATGATTGCAACCTACAAAAATTTCAAGGGAACTGAGAGGTTAAAGGCAAAACTATTCAGCACAGGTAGTACATGAACAAGGGGACACAGGTGGAAACTTAGTACCCAGTTGAGCTGTAGGGACGTTAGAAAGATTTTAGCGTTAACAAATGGAATGCACTAGGCAGTGATGTGGTGGAGGCAGACTCCATAAACAGTTTCAAATGTAGATAGGATAGAGCCCAATAGGCTCAGGAACTTGTAAATTAGTTGACAGTTGAGAGGCAGGACCAAAAGAGCAGAAGCTCAACCCCCCACATGCACAACTAGGCGAGTATTATTGCCTACCACCATTAGTGCTCCACCACCAGTACCTTCTGTGACCATAATGCCAGCCTGTTCCATTGCAGTCCTTGTTGTGTACTCATTACAGCACCCTGCTAACATTGTAACCCCAGGACAATTGCACCGCTTTGCATCGTAAGATATAACAGCCTGGAGAGACCTCTCTGTGATTGGCTACAATACACTAGTTGGCTACAATGAAAGCATTTCCAATTTATTGTGTTTAAAATGTATATAAAATATCATTACTTGTCAGCAATACAATTTGTATTGATGAGAAGAGTAATAAAGATAATGATAAATAGATGTGATTGTAATGAAAATTGTATGCAAATTAAAGTAGATACTAAATCAAATTAAAAAAAAAATATGTAATTTCTTTGATCTAAATTTTACCAGCCAAATTACCAGCTAAATACCAGCCAAATTTATTTGGCTGGTATTGTCTTGTAACACAAGGTAGTTTAGTGTTTTATTTTCAAAATAAAAATGTATTGCCTGACTGAGCTAAGTTAAAGCTATGATAGGGAAAAGGAAAGCATACAGAAAGATACAAATGTATAATGTATATGTCGGATATAGTTGTGCGATTTTAAAAATGCTGTGAATGAAATGGGCTCTTTAGCTATCATAAACATGAGTGCTTTTTGATAGGTTGAATGAAGCATTATTATTATTACTGTAGTAAAATCACTATTCTACAGGTGCTGCTTTAGCTATGTTAAGCACCTGGCCCCTTCCAACTCTCAGATCTGCTATGTCGAAGTTAGTGGAACCTAATGAGCAAGGTAAGACAATATGTTGATATAAATTTATTACAGTAATTATTAAATAACCCAGGTAGGAATACCTTATGGTTTTGGCATTATTATGTTTGTTATTTTTATATATTGTTGGGAGGGTGTGAGGAGGCGAATGATCTAGAGTAATGGCCTAGTACTGTATCAATGTAGCTTGCATATGTGCATTATGAAGGTATATATATTGTTATTGTTCTTTTGCAGGCAAACTGTTTGCATGTGTTGCACTGCTGGAAAATGCATGCACACTAGTTGCTTCAGGAGTGTTCAACAGTGTGTATCCCGCAACACGACTTATGTTCCGAGGGTTTACATTCATAATGGCAGCTGGCTTTCTCATTCTCCCTATCATTATCCTAAGGTAAGTATGAATAATGGTTCATTTTATTCTTCGGTTAATGATCATTGTTTAATTTAACATTGCTCTATGGACCAGACAGTTGTCCATATTCTTCACCTAGTTCACTTCTAATGGCTCTCAAAAAAATAGCTAAACTGTAACATATATTTAATTGCAAACATAACCAACTATTAAGAGAGCACAAAATATCAGGAGCTGGGAGTGAAAGTGATGAATAATTTTCTTAAAATTATGATTTGAAGGTTGATCAAATTTTTACTTTTGTCCTGCTTACATGTTGACCAAAGAAAATTAACTCTTAAGCACTTATTGGAACAAAAAGCTGCACCTTACTGTCAGAACTGTATTGGTCTGCTTATGGTCACTCTTTCCTCTGATGGAATGTCCTTATTTTCGTGTTTTAGAATTTTTTGTCTTGTAGTTCCTATACACTACATGTAAATTGGGAAAATACTTGATGAATTTGACTTTTTTTATTTTTTTATAGCAACCATGTAATATCTTATTACTGTCATATTGGCATCTTGAATGATTTCTAGAAACTTTTGTATATTCTGTGCCAATAGACGGTGTTATATGGTCAATTTATTATGTGGGACCTCCATGTCAGAGCTGCATGCTTGAGGGTTAATCTTATAAAGGTTGTAAATGTCCTGTATTTACAGGATTATATGTATTTACATATATTTTAATGATATAGGATAAAATATCCTGAGATATTATCTTGTAAGTCTATTTTATGCTTATGCTGCAGACACATTAGCAAAATTTTGCTAATGTGTTGCACAGGTGACTGGTTTGGTGTTATACTGTACTCTGAGATCCTTTGTGTATATGTGTGTGAATGTAATTACTTATGTGTAGTTACAAAGTGACATCGATGCTCGTGGTGTTTTGTTCCCTGTATCTTTGTTCTATAAAGATTTCAATCACAGTCGCTGGATTTGGCATACATTACCCCTCACATTTAATATATTCAGTCTGTCTACCATTATGCTGTACAGTACAGTATTTGCAAAAATGTTGTTTGTGTCTGTTTTATTTGAGATTACAATTGGTATAAATAAGCCAGATTAAGGCTATCCTATTTCCTGTCTGATGAATGATATATGAGGAGGAGTGAGCGTGAGAATTGATAGTGACAAAATTAGTTTATCACCCCAATCTTTAATTCAATAGTTAATATTTACATGAATTTTGTTTTTATGATAATATTTAGAAGACAGACAAGAAGTGAAGGAAACGGGTAAGAACAGACAGGAGAGTTCAATATAAAAAACATCTCATCCTGGGTATTACTGGGTCGAGGAGGGAGCCAAAAAAAATGGCACCCTCATCTATGGTGTGATGTGAACGTATTGCGAGTGTTCGCTCCATTATAATAATGTGCCCGGTTTAACTTTTGAGTCCCTAAAGAAAAACCATGCTACAGTGTGTTAAAAATGTACTATATAAATACTATATATGCATGCTATATAAGGATCCCATATAGTCACTGCAGTGTAATCAGTGTAATCTTCATTACAGTGTCTTGCAAAAAGCGTTAAAACAATTCAGCAAGTATGACTCGGTTGAACTGGCCGAAGAGGCTCGAGAAGAGTTTGAAGAATTGGACTGTGAGAGGGAGCCATCACCTACAGTTCAAGAGGAGGTAGCTCAATCCCAAGAGGAAAGTGGGTTAGTAACTGAAGGTAATACAGAAAACAGTCAGATTGTCAGAGCTGTAGATGATGTATAGTTGAAATCTGGTTCTTGTGCACACACACTTTCTTAGTATTTGTAGTGTATGAATTAGTTTTGGTAAAAGGGACTCTAGTAACAACTTTCCTATAATTTATTTAAGTAAATAAATACCTCTTTACTGAAGTATTCACTTATAGTAATTGTATTTTAAGCACTGCATGATGTGTTCAATCTGTATCTGTTATTATAGCATTTGGTATTAGAAACATCATTAGCATGTTATAGGTCAGATAATATCATTTTGATAAAATAACTATTGTACATTACAGTAATGTAGTTAAGTTTGTATAATAGAACAGGGGAAAACAATTATTTAATATAAGGGTTATGGAATGGATGAATTATGGCATATACAGAAAATTTAAGTGGACTAATACTAATGCGAGATACAAATACCAATAGCTACATGCTTTCCGGATGCTTCGGGACCCAGACTGGATGAGTATTGTGTTGTCCGGAAAAGTGGTTTGTCATCCTGAATATTTAATGGAAAATCTTATTTTTCTTTATAATTTGCCAGCATGAGAAGTTCTGATATTCTTCACCACTTGCAAAGGTGAAGAATATTGTTGAAGCTCCTGAGCCATCCACCAGTACACAAACACTGCTCTGGAATTTTCAGTGACGTGAAATTACCTGGCTTTATCCACCAGCAGCCAGCCTTCTACTGGCTTTTTCATATCTTCATGCTTCTGCCTGTACCGCTTTCACACTGTATGCAAACATATGAGTCACAATAACGTAGCTGAAGAGACGATATCCAACCCACACATCTGAAAATGTCAACATTTCGGTCCATCCTGGACCATTATCAAATCGTGTAACACTACCTTAGCTATTCACTGCCTTTCTATTACCTATTGCTTTATCACTTTCCCTCCAAGAAAAGTCAAAGATAGTATCTTTAGTCTTAATAATGTGTGAAAGCATCGTCCTGTTTGCACACATCACTTTTCAAAATGCCACTCTCCACCACCTTTACTCATTTTACTTTCTTCTGCTTGTAGAAACCATCACTGATAAATTACCTGCATTTGTAGTAGACATGGTGGATGATCATATTTTGCTGACATGTCTAAGAAAATCATTGGAATGAATGCTTCAGTGTTGCACCACAAAGCAAAAATGCTGTGATGCCTTGCTGCCACTCATTCTCTCCACTTTATAACATTTTTATTCAGACCGCAAGCCTAATAACTTTTTTGGTAATTATTCGGCCCATCATGGAAACGAGAAACTGACATACCTGAATAAGTTGTGTCTGGTAAGCACTTGGCTATATGTATTTACTGTTTTTTAGACAAATTACAATTTAGAATTTGGGTACAACATGACAGAATATATATAAGGCTATTTTGAAATGATAAGATTCTTTTAAATACTGTATATATAATTATCGGTGATTTGCCGAAACCATTGTGTCATCAGCTCTTCACCGTTATAATTACATGACAAGTTCCATGCTGAAGCCACGTGTATTTAATGTACTCATCTCAACAAAAAGTTACTTTTGCAATAATGATTTTGTTAACATTTATAATATATTTTACAATATTTACCATTCAATGATCAACACCCCCACAGCCCAGGCTCTGACCAGGCTTCCTAGTCTAGGGTTAATTCCAAATTTGTTTACCATCTGCTATGTGCGAATACTCTGTTAACAAGCAACTTAATGTGAAAATTAACTTGTCGAGAGATTGTAGGGACACTCGTCCTCAGAAGCACCTCCAAGTGTCCTTGCCAGCAATGTACTGTATAACATTAGTTTTGTTTAAAACTAGGAAGAAAACAAGAAGACTCATAATTTATTTGTATACTTTTTTTAAAATTAGGATTTAGATTAAAAGATTTACTACTACTTTTGAGAGGTCTTTATGAAGATCATTTTCTAAAAAAGATTTGTGTTATGTTGTTGACTATAACCATGTAACATGTAGCAAAATATTTGTTCCAAAAAATATTGGAATGCTTTAATATACACACCAGAATGCAGTTCCTGGAGCCTGCCATAAATTAAGAATTTGAAGTCATGCTATTCAACATTCTTTTTCATAGTGTCAGGTTTGTTCTATTCACACTTTGATATGTATATGTTGAATCACAGTTGTAAGTATACTCAGGTCTAAAATTAATATTTTATGTTAATTATTGAATTGTTTAAGAATAGTTTCATAGCATTCTTGGAACCAAAATTGTTGTGTATTAGTTGTCTGTTGATCCAAGGTGTTCCAAAAATTGTGAAGCATCCCTTGGTAAATGTATATCAAAGTGTTGTGTTTTTTACCTCTTTAAAGGCTGACCTTGATTATAGTAAATATAACTCAACTTCAGTTTAAAAACAAATAAAAAAATAAAGTTTCTACAGTGGTGTGTTGCTCAGCTCAGTATAACAATATCTAACATATGTCTTCCTACATATGGAGCATAAATGAAACATGTTTAAATTAAATGTGTGAGACCAAAGAGATATTGTATGGGAGCGCATCTTGTTAGGAACTTGTTTTGCAGCCAAAGAATTATTTACACAGGTTGTAATCATCTATGTTTAGTGTTTTAGTGTTTTTAGCTAGTAGGATGTTCCATACTAGGCTCTATATGTTAAGTGTTCTTTAGGTATTATAATTGAATTTATAATTTATAAGTTAATCAATTAACTTGGTGCTATGGTACTTTGTTAAAAATACTCAAATGCAGCTGCTAATTTAAAATTTAGAATTGCTCTTCAGGTATTGTATTATGAACAGGCTAGTTAAACATTTTCTATTTGTAAATGTTTGTATAGCAGCCATTGGAATATACATATGCAAGATGTTTTGCAATAAAAATAAGAAATAAAAACTATAAGGAATGGAGAACAAATAATTAGCTAGAAATATGTATCAATATTCATACTGTGTTGTAAAGAATTTTGAGGCATTTGTATTTTAACAAAATATTTGTAGGACATGCTTCTTACTCACTTGAGAAACTTTGTTCCTCAAGGATATGAAGGTACACAACACACCAAATAAGTAATAGCAATAATTCTTGCACAAAGGAAATCACAGTAATGTGATATATCAATGAGAAAATTGATTGGAGCAATGTGCAGGTTTGAACCAGCGACCTGATAATCCCAGCTGCGAACCTTACCCTTGGATGACAACATGGTAAAAGTTTTACAACCTGGAATTAATCTCAGGTGACTGCTTCGAATTCCCACATTGTTCAAATTTTCTTAATGTTTCTTATGTTAAAGAAACATCATGTACGGGACATTTCTGTGCTCTATCATTTAGTTGTCGTGGTGGTGGTAGTTATTGTTCGTATCCTCTACGACAATTGGCTTATATTTATAAATCTTGTACCTTTATGCAGAACCTAGTTTTCTCCCATACATAGTCTTTGTGAAAATCTCCTGAAATGGTGTCAATACCTTCATATCACCTAAATCTTCAAAGCGAAGAAGTTTACTAGAGATAACTGGCACAGTTCTATAATAAGAGCACTAGCCCGGTGTCAATTCATAAAGCCTGGTTGAAAGAGAACATTTGAAAATGGGAACTTGTGGACATTCAAGAGAAATGGATTACCCCGAATAGTCTTCATTTGTAATAGTTTATTTGACTTTGGCATACAGTTATTATATATGCATACGAGGCAATGTTTCTCTCTACTGAGACCATTTTGGAAGGGATAAGCCTCATGTAGATTCATCCTTGCGTATTTCATCTTGAGGGAATGATAAATTACATCAAATATTTCCTAAATGAGTTACAATTAGTTAGCTTTCATATTTACTTGCGACCCAACCAGTTTTCTACAGGAATTAACCATTGTTAATATATATTTAATATTACAGGTCAGTGATTGATATGAAATTAAGCACATGTACAGTATGGTGCAATGCATAATATACTATAAAAGCCTAAATTAGAATAATCAAGACATTTATATAGCTAAAATTAGACAATTATCAAGAGTTTAGTACTGTGTACAGTAATTTAAAAAGCATTGCAATTTTTGTATTGTTTATTTCCGTGTGAAATTGAGGGAAAAGACACTAAATACTGTAGACAAGAAAAATACCATAGTTATAAAGTTTGTTTTTTATGCATTCCTGTGATTAGCAAGTTGCTTATATTTTACATGTGATGTGAAATGGCATTTCCTAGAGTAAGATGTGTAACTAATTTTAGGGTCTTGAAAAGATGAGGACTGGCTGTCCAGAGACCTTTGTGAATAATACTCCATAATTCTAGTCTGTTTATAGAATATGCAGTACTGTACTGTAGTAGTTTCATACACTTGAAATTTTGTGCTGTTTTTGCATATCGTCTTTGATAGAAGATTTGATATAACTCCATATATTTATATTACTGTATTAACATTTAGTTTGTTTCCATTAATATTGTTGCCCCAAGAATTTTGTAGTTTTATATTGGCTGTGTTTTCACAATGCATTATGGAACACCGACATTTTTAATGTAGGGTATGTGAATTATGTATCAATATGAAGGCCTTTTCCAGGAATTCTTTTTGTAATACAGTTGATTAGAAAATTTGTTCTAGAGCTTTAAAATATTATTTACATAATGATACCAATATTAAAGTCAATCCATTCGCTTCCAACCAAACAATTTTAATAACATTAATGCTGTAATACCAGGTACTATAGTCAAATATTGGTAGTACCAGCATTGTAAATGGAAATTGTCATATTTTTAATTTAATCTTAGTTACATTATCTCATCAATCCTCAGTTGCAGACATTGCAAAAAGAAGTCATGTTTGAGATGGCAGTTCTTTTGATACTATATACCGTACATATAAACATCAAAGTTAAATTTTATAGAAAAAAATGATGATTTAAATGCACAGTTAATACATATCAATATTTACAGAATTGGTATCTTGTGTGGGAAGAACAAGTGGTCTGCAATATGGAATGTTGCTCAAGTTTTTTTTTTAAGTGCAATACATGCACTGGTATTTTAACTCTACCATACTGCTCTTACAAGCACTTATTTTAATCTCTAGCCATTTTTGTGTGTATATTTAGTACACTATTATTGAATTTTCATTGTAAGTTTTGAGGCAAAGAAAGCATGGCTAATTATACAATTTGCACTTTAATTGCTAATTGAGCACTATGAACTTCATACATTGCATGTTATTTTAGAATAATACTATGTCTTTATAATGCACAATTAAACTAATTTTAGTTTTACAAATATTGTTCAGTAAATTGTTATCCAAATACTGTCTAGACCTTTTAAAAGATCGGTACTACTTTCTTGGGTTCCAAGAACCTAATAAGTAGTTGTATGATTAAAGATTTTGGAAATACAGTTCAGTTCAGTATTACAATACTACTGTAATAGAATATTATACCGTAAATATTTATGTAATGCACATAACTGTAGTACCGAACTGTACCATAATACAAAATTGTACTGCAGTGCAGTTAAATGCAGAATTGTGCTGTAGTTCAGAACAGTTCTTAACTTAGTACAGTTTTGTATTTAACTTTACTATAATCAGAACTGGTTTTGTAATGCATGATTGCAAGGCAATGCAGCTCTGTTTTGTATTATAGTTGTACATTTCAGCACAGTTCTATAATGCAATCAATAAAGAGCTAATAAGTGCAGAACTGTAATACAGAACAATTCTGTATTGCATCACAGTTCTGCAAAAATGTACTGTAATACAGAACAGTTCCAAATTACAGCAGTTATGCCTTACAAAATTTTGCATTGCAAAACAATATGTTTGCATTACAACAGTTTTGTAATGCTGAAATGTATTGTAGTACCATTCTAGATTAGAAAATTTTTACTGTATTAGAAATGTATTCTGCAATGGAGACCTGTATTGCAATGTAAAACTGTAATTGAGAGGTGTTCAGCATTCAGATCTGTTTCTGAATTACATTTCTGCATTACAGTACAGCACTGCATTATGTTAATGTCTATTTTACATATCTGTATTCCAGTCATATATTACAGGACAAGTTTTACATTACGGCACAGTTCTGTTTAACAATACAATTCATCATTGCAATTACATTTTATTGTTCACAGTAGTTCTGTATTGTATTACATTACAGTGTAGTTTTACATTATAACAGTTCTGCATTGCAGAACTATTTTTTGATAATTGAAGCTTATGAAGTTATTGTAGAAAGTTATATATTTTGACAATATATAGATATGTGATGTGACTTTTTAATCTTTGTTTTCTAATAAGTATTTTGAAAATACAAATTTTGTTACATTAATCTTTGATTTTCCTGAGGCTATGTTTGGAAACAGCTTCATGCCAGGCATGAAGTACAGTACAGAATATGGGGGAAGATGACAACAGTATTTATCTATCAGTGACTATGGGGTTAGGGGGAGATCTAGCTCCTTATGCCCCTGTAGCACAAGGGAAGCACACTTTCTTGCAAGGGATTTCAGCCATCAGTAATTGGAGACCTGTGGCCAGGTTCATGAAGCAGTTACGCAAGTAATTACGAACGTGAATATCTTTCCTCAATCTTTGATGGCTTTGGTTACATTTATTAAACAGTTAACAAGCATGACAACTTGCCAATCAACTGTTATTGTTATAAACAGCCTCCTGGTGCTTTGGAGCTCATTAACTGTTTAATAATTGTAAACAAAGCAGCTAAAGATTGAAAAAAGATGTACAGGTTCATAAGTGTTTGTGTAGCTTCTTTGTGAATCTAGCCCCTGGTTGTGAACTAATTGCTAGTTCATGCTCCAGGGAAAACTAGGTGGAAAAAATTGAATTGAATCTGAAATAATGTAAATAAAAACAAACCAAACTTTTGTATACAGTACTCATTGATTCTAGGGATCAGGAGGTGCAGTATACTCTAAGCACAAAGTGGAGCTGAAGGCTGAAGTATACACTAAGCAAGACGTGGGGGTCAAGACAGAAGTACACATTAAACATGAGGTAGTTATAAGAGCGAGAACTTTATCAACACTAAAGAAAAAGACTTTTCAACACTGTCCCTTTAAACATAAGGGGCATAACTGGCCGTTCTCTCACAGTTTTTAAAAGAGAACTCGATAAATACCTCCAAAGGATATCTGACCAACCAGGCTGTGATTCTTATGACAGGCTGCGAGCAGCTGCATTGTACAGTCTGATTGATCAGACCACCAACTAGGAGGCCTGGTCACAGGGATGTTCATCCTCGTAACTAACACAAGATAACCACAAGGTAAGGTACATTAAGCACTAAGCAGAGGTCAAGGCTGAGGTATACACTAAGCACGAGGTGGTGGTCAAGGCTGAGGTATACACTAAGCACAAGGTGGTGGTCAAGGCTGAGGTATACTAAGCACAAGGTGGTGGTCAAGGCTGAGGTATACTAAGCACAAGGTGGTGGTCAAGGCTGAGGTATACACTAAGCACAAGGTGGTGGTCAAGGCTGAGGTATACACTAAGCACAAGGTGGTGGTCAAGGCTGAGGTATACTAAGCACAAGGTGGTGGTCAAGGCTGAGGTATACTAAGCACAAGGTGCTGGTCAAGGCTGAGGTATACATTAAGCACGAGGTGGTGGTCAAGGCTGAGGTATATAGCAAGCATCAGGTGGTGATCAAAGCCGAGATAGTCACTAAGCATGAGGTGGGTTAAGGCTGGGGTATACATTATATATGAGGTGGAGGTCAAGGCATTAGGCGTACACTGAGGTGGTCAAAGCTAAGGTATACACTAAGCATGAGGTTTACACATTTTTATCAGATTCAGTTATAGACGTAAAATATATGAATAATTTTGCTGACAAAGTTCACATTTGTCGAGATCAACTGACCGGTAAAATTTTGGTGGTCTTGAACTCTCCAGAGGTTTACAGCACTTTAACCTATCAAACTAAATCGATATTCAACTTAACATACCGTTCTTTCGTATACCGGGGTTTAGGTATTATCAGAATGGCAACGGATTTAATATTTCATTCTTGATTACACAACCACTTAAAGCAAAAAGGCGCAGCAAATTAAGCGAAGTCAAACTAATCTCATTAAAACATAACCCGTTAATTAGGATTTAGTAGGATGGTTGACCGGACAGAGCGTGTCACGCGTGCATACATACGGCGACCTTGTCTTACCCGGGCTAAACACAATATGAGGCGGTCGTCCACAGGATGTCTGCGGCTTGACCCTTTCTCCAGTGACCTACATCAGGGTCGAGCTGTCTGCCGGCCAAGAGCAACAAACAGTCTTCTGACCCATTGTCTGTTTTCTAAGTGCTAAAAAGCGTAATTTATTCTGCGCAACACATTCTTTAGAATGTAATTGTTGTGAGGATGACTTGAGTAGACTATAGGCAAGAGGAATCCACGTGGAAGTGTGAGATGCGACGTATTTTATATACTGAAACCGGCTCTTTATACGTGGCAGGGTCCTTACCCCCCCATCCCCAAGACACGCTGACCGCACCCCCCCCCCCAAACCTCCAAGAACCCCCAACCCACCCATCCATGCAAGCCCCCCCCCCCCCACACCACCCATACCACGCCGCTCATACGAATTCAGAAAAACAACCACTTCAGAATTGAGGTCCTGTCCGGACCCTTGCGCTCAGGTATTTTCTACTGCAGTCTACCTCCGAGGCCCATACTTAGTCTACAGATCCCGTTAAGAATGTTATCTGCTGAGTACAAGTCCAGCGCTCAAGAGTCGTTATTAATTCACCCTCACATAACTGTCAGGTCTCTCTAGGACATGACATTATAATCTAAATAACTACGGTAGTCAGGTTTATTTTTAAATCTAACTCTAGAAGCACTTTATATCTGAAGGACTATATATATATATATATATATATATATATATATATATATATATATATATATATATATATATATATATATATATATATATCTTAATACATATCTATTGTATGGGAATTAAGGCTTATTCTCTTACATATATTTAATTTCGAGTTTTATTGGATTCTGTCAGTGCAAAGGTGTTCCTTGACGGTAAACTGGTCGTTTACTACCTCGTAAATGTTGCCAGACAAGTTTGAATGTGTTTACATATCTCCTCTAGTAATTGTTTGTATATATATTCTTATTATGCTTGCGTGTCTATATTTATATCAAATCGACCTATTTTTTGTGATATATGCTACATATCTTTCTATATATATTTTCCATCCATTTCTTAACTGGATCCGCTTCATGCAGGGTTGATGTTCAAACCCCAATTTACTTATTAATGTAGCAATCCATCCTCCTATTTGTAACTATTTTGACCATCGTCATGCAATTAGAATTTGATACTCTTTACTTTATTATATAGAGTCCGGAAAACAAATTAAAAACCAAATTGAGCTATTCCTAGGCCTAGGATAGCACATATACAGTACTAAACAAGGCCTAGGATGGTTAGCTTAGGTTAGGTTTTATCAGCAACATAAATACTGGACCTTTTCCGGTTTTCTAAATGCAATAATACCAAATTCTACTTTCTAATTGTCCATTACGTCAATATATACATACACAAGGGTCTACATTGCTACTATGAGTACTATCTATATAAACAAGAGAGGGGGAGAGGCCTGCAATTAATGTAGACTATACTGTACACACACAGAAAACGATTTATGTATTGCGTAACTAGCAGTCTCCGTGGTGTAGTGGTAAGACACTCGCCTGGCGTTCCGCGAGCGCTATGTCATGGGTTCGTATCCTGGCCGGGGAGGATTTACTGGGCGCAATTCCTTAACTGTAGCCTCTGTTTAACGCAACAGTAAAATGTGTACTTGGATGAAAAAACGATTCTTCGCGGCAGGGGATCGTATTCCAGGGACCATAGGATTAAGGACCTGCCCGAAACGCTACGCGTACTTGTGGCTGTACAAGAATGTAACAACTCTTGTATATATCTCAAAAAAAAAAAAAAAAAAAAGATTTTTTTTATCCTTACCTCTGAAATAATATTAAATATGGGTAAGACGCAGCTTGGAATAGTGGTCCAGGTCTGACACATGATCACTGATGATGTCCATGACGGTGAGGACGGAGGCGCATGACGGCCATGATCTGGGTAAACACGCCGACCAACGGTCACTGACTCGTGCGGCTGGCAGCAAGTATCGACACACCTTCCGATATGCAATTAAAATGAGCTTACATTCAACAGTACAGTTATACGCTCTGTTTGGATGATTTATATATGATAATAATTAAAAAAAAATGGTGTGTCAAATTAAAAAATGTATAATGAAATCATTAGGCTGTGTTAATTTAAGTCCCTAAAAAGTATGGTCAACACTGAGTTTATGGTGGTCGGTCAACTAGGCTGTTCCTTGTCCACGACAGTGTATAATACATATGTGTGTGTGCGTTGGAGTTTATAACTCAGCATGTAAAAGCTATTTACATGATATTTTTGTGTGGAGACAGTATATGCCCGAAACGCTTTGGGTAATAGTGGCTTTAGGCATTGTATGTACTAGCTCTATCTATAAATCTATCAATTTTTGTAAAATCTCTTGTATATATGTACCTTACCTGAATAAACATTTATTTATTTATTTATATACATACCTTGGCGAATTAGAACACATTATAGAAACTTCATCCATCGTAAGAATTGGTTAATTTGGTCGAATGTGGAATTCAACATTTTCCACTCCAGTAGTTGTTGCTGGAGAGAGAAAATGGGGGATGGTGGGTGAGAGAGAGAGAGAGGGGGGGGGCTCACTAATTAACATTTCGCAGCAAAACATACGTCACAAAAAATACAAAAGGCTGAAGAAACAAAAGCAGAAAACAGAATAAACTTGATCTGAACTAAATCTTTACTAAGCGTTTCCTGACCAGCGGGTCAAAGTCGGCACAAGTCCCGCTAGCCGGCATCTGCCCCCCACCCTTCACCCCCCCACTCCCCCCTCTACACAACACCACCGCGGCCTCCATACTAAGTCATATGGTCACCACTACCACCATATGAGACGACTATAAGACCCCTCAGATAAGAGAGACAAATACGAACTTACTGGGAGTATGCAACAAAGCGAGAGATTTTCAGATACTTAAAGCAGGGGCCTGGCGTAGCCTGAAGTAGCTACTGCGTAAGTATGAAGATATGTTCGTATTGCTGCCTACATGGCTCCGTCCGCGGTCAACGTCTGCAGGAAGTGCCTTCGATGACTGCTACGCCGGAGTCCTCCCCACCTCACGAATGTAGGTCACAAGCCTTGCTAGCAGCAGGGACATTCCTGGCTATGTACCATACTCTA